GTTGACATTAGTTAATGAAGCAATGATACAACCGGATCCAGGACACTCCATGTGGAGAATACAACCGGTCGCCTGTCAGGCGCTCAAGGTTCAAATTCAGACTACCATCGTATCATACCAGGTACCCAGTTTTACTGCTGGGTGGACAGAGGCAATTTTGAACAAACTCACTTGCCTAAGGTGAGGTGTATCACATGTGCTTCGTTGTGGGGCAGGACTGAAGTCCTAGAAACTGTCAGGAATGAAGCTGCCAATCACGTCACCCATCCAAGACCTCTCCGCGCCCATCGTTGTCTAAATTCAACTGATTGTGACTTGAGCTCTACGCACAGGACCACACACCACCACGATGTACGACTTAATCATTTCTTATATACTCATGCCAATAATGGTTGTCACCCCCTTCAATTTTTTTTTTTAATTGGAGAGGTGTGTGGTGTGGGTGTGGGGGTTGGGGTGGGGAGGAGGGTGACAACCATTATTGGCATGAGTATAATTTGTGATACTAACAAAACGTATCCAGTTCCAGCGTGGAGCTTTGTATTGGAATAGTTGGGATAATCGTGGAAAACCTTGTGTAAATATAGAGTGCTTATCGACAGTAAATTCTCTAGGACAGACCCGAGTTACAATGACCCCTGTATCTTTTATTTATGCGTGTGTGACAGAAAGAAAAATGATGATTTAAGGGGGTCACCCATTTTGTTCTGGGGAGCTGGGGGTCAGCAATTTTGTACACACGTACTAGGGGGTCAGCAATTTTGTACATAAACACATGTTTAAACTTATGCTTACAAATTATGGGGGCATTGATTTTGTACATGACATGCATGGGGGGGACTTATTTTGTACATAATTTTTTTTGGGGGGGGTCATTCACATTGTACATGCTTCTCCATAAATATCATCATCACCCCCCCTAGTCATAAATTATGAACGGTCCCTAAAGATGTCAAATATAACATCGTCGCTCAGTGCTTTTTGGGTGTACGATAAAAAGCGGAGAAAATGACATTTAACAGCGTCAGCATTTCAAACCATTGCCTAAGCAGTTTCACATGAATTAACCCCATCGGATAGGAAATTTAATAGTCCACATGTCTGTAGATCCAGTGCCGCGCGAACGAAATTCCCGCGTAACGTTCACTTGTAAAAAAAACCTCTCTGCATCCACGGGATTAACATATTTAGACATGGACAGCTGTTAATATTAACATTAGAATATGTTTTCATCAAATAATCATACTGCAGTAACCATTTTTATTTTTTCTAAACAGCTCAAAATCAATTTAGAGTTCTTCAGAATCAGTAATGTTAAATACTGTTGGAATTGGACAAAAAGGCGTTATATCGATCTTGTTTGAAGTAGTTCTGATGTTCAAATGCCAATATGAATGCATTCCAGGACACGAGTCGGTATTCAAAGCGTTGAGAATTTTTTGAATGATATTCATATTACGAGGTGTAGAAGTACACCTGTAAAAGGCATCATCCCATGACATTCAGTAAATAGATAGGTTCTGTAGTTCACCTTGACTGACTGACTGTGTTTGGTTTTACGCCGCTTTTAGCAATATTCCAGCAACATCACGGCGGGGGACACCAGAAATGGGCTTCACACATTGTACCCATGTGGGGATTCGAACCCGGGTCTTCGGCGTGACGAGCCAACGCTTTAACCACTAGGCTACCCCACCGCCCCAGTTCACCTTGAACGAAAAGGTAAAACGTGGTGTTATTATCCCTTGCCTGCAATTCGTATCTTTACCGAAGCTCCTTACTCTAACCATGGAATACATGCTGTACAACGGTACAACGTGGTGTCCTGAACAGAAATAGTCTCTGTAGCTCACCTTCATACAAAGGGTACTTGAGTGAAAATAAACAGGTGGTGTTTCTTGATTTCCCTTCTAAGTTTGTTATACGTACAGATTCAGTTGCGTTTCTTACTCTGCCAGCATATGCTGATTTGGGGTTCGAATCCCATAATACCCTGAGTATGATCTTGTGCCATAGCTTGTACGATAGGTGACTTGTAAATATCTATGATGATCATCTGTTTTAGCGTCTTTCGCTTCACAACGTCATCACTGAAACAGTATTCAAGTCGATTTCTCCACTAGCCTTTGCATATTAAAATAGGCTGTATTTCCAGAATACTTACAGTAGGTATATTCTGTAGTTGTTACAGTTATACGACCAACGGCTGGTCATAGGTGGTTGTTTGCATGTTATTATGGCTGTAGGTGAATTCGTAGACCAGACTAGTTCGTAGACGTGGAAATCCGGTGGATTCGTAGGCGGATTGAACGGTGGATTCGTAGACGTTAGTAAAATGGGAAAAGTTCAACCTCGATGATGAAAATCGATATTATGACTTTAATGTAACCGAAAAGTGTTTGCATTTTGTGAAATAAATAAAATATATCAGGTAAGTATGATCGGCGTCTGGCTTGATGGCTGAGGAAATCTACAAAGCAGAGAGTCAACCCAGCTGCCCATGCCCCTCCCTGCCACCTCTGAGCCAAGCAGCCCGGAAAATTAATTATCATCGCCAGGGTGATCGTCCAAGCGAACCAAAGACTTGGATTTTGAGGTATGTATGGTGTTCGCTTTCTGTATTCAGTATATTTTAAATTATGTTAAATAAATTTAACATTTTCACAAATGTTTTTCTTCTTTAGATTTGCTCCCGCTTCCTACCAAGTGACTGTGTGGGCGCGGTGGGCGAGCTGGCTAAGGCGCCAGGCTAGTGATCCAGCGAGGTTGAGGTGTCGGGATCGAACCCACCTGTGACCGGGTGTAAAAACCTTGGAGTCAACTTTGTGTGCAGACTCTTTCAGTGTTGTCACAACCCCTAGTGTACAGTACACAACCCTGTGCACTTAAAAGAACCCACGAATCCGTTGGTATATGACCAGATGGTGGCCACATGAATACGTGCAAACACCTAGTTGCGGGTACAGCAGCGTGCAGTAAACATGGACAAAGTACTGTGACTATGTGTCCCAGTCCACCCAGCTGTGAATGGGTACCTCGTTAGGATGAGAAAGCCACAATAACTCGGTGCGCCTAGTGGCTGCAAGAGTTGTATACCCCCCAGGGAGTTGAGATTGATAATACGATGTGCCGTTGAAATTGACATCCAGTGATCGAGGGGTAAAAAATACCAGCGCCTTGAGTAAGCACCAGTTGCCTGGATATGTGCGCTATATAAATATCCTATAATAAAAATATCCTATAAATATATCCCGTATATGTGAAATCACCTTGCTCATCGTGTAATTAAATCAATATCATTTGGTGATTAAACAAAGTCTACAATTAATTAATCGATATTTGGTGTAAGGGCACCACCTGTTTTACAAAATTATGTTTGTCCGTTTGCCAAGAATATCAAAATATCGCGGATCCGGGAAAACGTAAAACAACAAATAAGACATCAGCAACACAGAATATTTTGGGGAGTGAGGTTAAATGGGGTAAAATTAATTGCTTTGATTCTTTCTTCAATTTCAGTATTCATCCAATTTTCTTTTTCAAGCTTTAAATACAGTTGAGTCACACGTCACGTGTGATCATCCGTGTACTGTCAACGTGACGTCTCTCTCTATGGACAATAAAATCCTTCTGCGTGGTGCCCCTCGTCAGGATGCGTGCGTTTATGACACCTGGGATACTCTACCTTATATAGTCTCCCTGAAGACACTTATGTTTACAGCACCTGCATGTTTAAAACACATGAATCTGTTTACAGTCCTTGCATATTTTCAGTGAATGTGTGTTTGCAGCACACATCTGGTTTCAGTGTCCAGTGTGCGAAAGTTACCAAATTATGTTAACCAGTCGGGCTAGATATGCCTGAAAGTTACTGGCCCACAAAATAATTCACAAGCCCGAAATTGGAATGTAGAAACTAAGCAAAAGATAACAAAAATATAAGATAATAAGATATTGTGGGCATGACACCGATTTCATCATCAAGTTACTAATATGATGAACATTTTTATCAGGCCATAATGTTGCATGATTTAAAAGTGTATTATAAATTAAGAAGTCGGAGAGAGTGATATATTTACAAAATGACCCCCCTGAAAAGTCAGTCGGGACAGTAAGTGTGGAAATTTACTGGCCCCACTGGAGTTTTACTACATATGGGCAAGCGGGCCAGTTGCTATCTCGCACACTGACAGTGCTTGTATGTTTACAGTACCTGTGTGTTTGCAGCACGTCTGTTTACATCGCCTGCATGTTTACAGCACGTCTGTTTAAAGCCTGTGCGTTTTTGACACATCTGTTTACAGCGCCTGCATGTTTAGAACACATGTATCTGTTTACAGTGCCTGTGTGTTTGCAGCACACATCTGTTTACATCGCCTGCATGTTTAGAACAAATGTATCAGTTTACAGTGCTTGCATGTTTACAGTGCCTGTGTTTATGAAATATGTATCTGTTTACAATGCCTGCACCTTTACAGTACATAATCCATGATCCATAACACCAAGATGACCATACAATGTGATGGCCATTCCAACTCTAGTACTGCAACTTTATTCATACCACAGGGTATAGAAAAAAACGTAGACTGTGTAGAGTCCCTTATCCTTGTCCGAATCCACGGAACATAAGTTTGAATCCCAAATGTGGGCTATTCTATTTAATAGTTTTAATAGCTCACTACACATGGGTTTTACTCCAGTTAAAAAAGGTTTCCAGTTGCCTCACTTTGGGATTTCCAGATTCTTAATAAGTATATAACTGAATCTATGAATGTTTAATTGTAGCATCAATTTCCAACAAGTATGTTAATGAAAGATCTGCCTGCTTTGTCACTATTGAACATATTGTTGAGTGTGACATTAAAATACCTCCCAGGCAGAACTGAGGTAAATTCACTTGAACTTTCATATCTATGCATAATCAACTCAAAGATAAAAGAAAAATATTTATCAACATTTGTTAGATGTTTCACAGATGAAAATGACAACAATTTTAATGCTTTGAATTTCCAAACATTTTATTTGGGTGCAGAAGAATACATCTTATTGATCCATGTAAACAAATGTTGACATAAAAAAGAAGAATGAACACATCATCCTTTTTATAGTCTTCCCACTAAATATATATATGCAGAATTCTCATCTCATTCAGTATATCGGACATCCAGAACAGAGATCTCCAGGGGAGATTACAGAATACACTTAACACACAGAACAAACCCCCCACGCTTACTCCTTCCCAGGTTGTTGCATATCAATATGAATAAATAACAGTGTAAGAAATTTGTCTGTTCAGTTTTAAAAGAAACTAAAACTGCTCTCCAGACAGAAGCCTCATTAACTAGATCATGGAAGCCAAAACAATGCACAAAACGTAAGCTGTTTTAGTTTTCTTTCAATAAACAAAATCCTCAAAAGAAACTGAGTATTTATGCTTTCACATTTCTCCAGAATGTCCACAGACCTAGTTGTTAAAATCTTGAAAATCAACAAAGAGAAAGGTTTCCAGCTTTCAAAAAACCCCACCAGATTCAATAATAACAACCAAGAAGGCAGCAATCATTTAAAACAACAAAACATTTCAACATACGACGAGGTTCATAGCATGTTTACAGTCTGTAAGGAAACACATGACAACACAAAAATGCAGTACTATTCCTTTGTGTGTTGAAAGCAGCATGTAAAAGAAAAAGAATGGTCACAATCACTCAAAACACTTGCAATACAGCAACTCCTTTCCAGCCTTTGGACATACAATTTTGGGGACTGTCCTAAGGGAGATAAATTCCCATTTAATGAGACAATCAGAGTTGTCTACCTTTAGTACACCCACTTGTGTTAGCAACCATAATCTTGACTGAAAGACGGAAGAGTGTGCACTGAAGTAATACTCTACATCCTGAGAGGTGGAAAAGGAGACATGAATGGGTACTTCCTTTTTTCAGCTCTCAAAAATGCAGATTCAATTTTAGCAGCCATGAAGGCAGCAATCATTTAATACAACAAAACATTTCAACATATGACGAGGCTCATAGAATTATTACAGTCTAAAAGGAAACACATGACAACACAAACATGCAAAACTATTTCTTCGTGTGTTGAAAGCAGCATGTAAAAAAAAAGAATGGTCGAATACTTGCAATGTAACAACTGTTTTCCAGCCTTTGGAAATATGATTTTCGGACTGTCCTAAGGGAGATAACTTCACATTTAATGAGGCAGTCAGAGTTGTCTACCTTTGAGTACACCCACTTGTGTTAGCAACCAGAATCTTCACTAAAAGACTAGATTAAAAAAAGAAGAAAGAAGGTGCACTGGAGTTTGAAAAGTATTTCAATCACACCATAACAGATCAGATTCCAGTGGATATGGCATTTGTAAATCAAGGATCAAAATTAAAGAGGTCCATGACTTGAAACAAAGTCTCAACCATAGTCTCATTTGGGGCACATGAGCGTTTGCCAGACTGAGTTCAAACTCACTAATTTCGAGGCACCAATTTGTTTTGAGTGAACTTGATTTTTAATAACTAATAACTAATTTGAGTGAACTCAAATTATATTAGTTGAATTCAGTAAAACTTATTCAAACAATTATTTCTATCACTGTGCCTATATATAAAGAATGTAGACATGGTTCCCTCATTGCAAAATGGCAAACGTACAGGTTAACATCCAGTTCATTCCAAATTCAATGGGGGATAGACACTTAATCCATCTAGGTCACAAGTTTAGGGTTAAGAGCACAAAAAAGGGACAGAGTTCACTTGAAATGTTGTAAGCCAGGTTGTTCTGCAACCACCGTCAGTGATGTTCTCAGCAGTTCCAGGAAGATACACAACCATCATCAAATTCAAATTCAGCTTCACATTGCTGAAATAAAAAAATCAAAATGAGGTTATTGGTGTTTAGTGTATGGGTGTGACATATATCAGCGTTATTTGTTATTGAGTATGAACTTTCTTTTGTCTACTGTTAACACTGAATACTGAATATACAAGAAAGAAAAGGGGAGTGAACAATGTGACAACAGAGTTGACACTCTGGTCCTGGTAGTCAACGGAAATAAATCTGTACAAGTTCCTGAACCACCATGATTTGATTGAAATAAACCACACAAATTGAATCATTTGATCATTTACAATCAAATCCTGTTGACTTTCATGATTCTGTCAAAAGAAAATTTCCTGGGTGCCGTTGTACAAAACAACCTTAGTGCTAAGGCTATATTAAGTCGATGTAAAGGAATGGAAGTTATGATAACCTTTGTGCTAAGATCGCTTTGTACAACGACACCCTGTACCATACAATCCTGCACACAAGTGTGTCAATGTAGGGAATTTAACCCTGTCATGAGCGAATGCTTGAACCACAAGGCTAGCCAACCACCCAATAACAAATGTAAACTTTCACTTGTCAGTCGGTTATAATATTATGGAATGTGACCTTCCTTCTGTCTACTGTTCACAATGAATATTGAATATACAAGACATGTAGAATGACAACTTTAAATGTCAACACAAACCTAGAATCGGTGAGAGAAAAGACCAAGTGACTCACAGGATAGTCGAGACCATCATCTCTGTCGGGACCAGTGTGTCTGGGAGGATTGCCACGTCTGTCAAACCTGGGATGATTACCACGTCTCTTGTGTCTGGAACGACCGGCACGTCTGCTGTGTTTGGGATGACCGGCACGTCTGCTGTGTTTGGGAGGACCGGCACGTCTGCTGTGTTTGGGAGGACCAGCATGGCTGTCCTGTCTGGGAGGACTGGCTGCTCTGGCAGGTAAACCTGTAAAACAGCAATATTAAAGCATGGTCAAAGCTGTGCAACAGCCACATTGCCACAATATATCACAGTAATATCACATCTGTATAACTGTCACTTTACAGTGAGTGAATGAGTTAGTATTTAACGTCACATCATCACTTTACAGCAATATCACATTCTTTTTCACAGAGATCGTCCTTGGGGTACATATTATGCATTTTCCGGCTGAAAAATGTCCTGTGACAGTTGTATCAATGTTTTTTGAATAAAAAGATTGTACAATAAATAAACTCTTTTATTTATTATACGGACCCTACCTCACGGAGTTACCTCCCTTAGCGCATGCGCACCAACTGGGTAGGCTCCTAGACCCGTATCATCATTCCTTCTGCTGTCACGGCCGTGAACAGACGTGTTACCTTTGAAACGAGTTAACCCATTCATGAGCCGTACGGCGCTGTTAAAGAATATGTCTGAGACACCACCTGTATGTTTGGTCTTTATTTGTCTAAAACAAGAACAGTAAAGCTTTACAGTTGGTTGTTTCATAATTGTGACTTTGTATTAATTCTAATACGCGAACTTTCCCGTGGTTTACGCAAGTATTGCGCTGCCATGGCGGGAAGTTTAGCGTGCCGCGTGGTCGTAATATTGCGTTTTAAAACCAACTATTACTTTCCGTGGTAACCTTCACGTAGTTTTTCAATGTTTTCTACGTGTTTATATGCTGCTGGCTGCCGTTACCTAACATGTTTGCGTGTTTGTTTCAGGCTTTTTCATGCTGCTCGGTCTGTGGGGGGAGTATCCCCCGGGCCGACAGTCATTCCAGTTGCGTGGCCTGTCTAGAGAAGACAGGCCATGAAGCAGACTCCTGTGCTATTTGTCTGGCCTTTTCCCCCCGGGCCCAGAAGAGGCGGGCTGCCGACACATTGTTCTACCGCGAAATGCGTGAGGCGGGAAGGGACCTGATGCAGGTTCCCCCGTCAAAGTCCAAACGTGTATCAAAAAAGGGAAAAATCCGTGGCCCTTCCCCTCTCCTGCCACTTCGAAAGTGGTTTTGACATGTCACTGATGGAGTCTATGTTTCAGCAGCAGATGGACTCGATGAGAGTCCTTCGTTCGTGAGTCGGTTGGAGGTCTCCGGCAGGAGTTCCTCACCCACTCGGACGGGGGAGAGTCCGGGGTGGGATCGCCGGGCTCGGCTCGATCCCCTCAGCCTTGAGGCGTCTGTCGCATCCGCTGCCTCTGGCCCGGATCCGGACGCCCTCGGGCTGCTCGGAGAGGAGAGGTGCTCCCAGTCCCCCTCTCGGAGCTCAAGGCGCGAGGCCCGTTGAGTATTCCTGGTATTCCGGTCCTTGCGCACACCCGGCCCCATGAGAGCGGAGGCACCAGTTCTGCCTGGCCTGCCTCCAGCGTCACTGGGACCGGGTCCACGCACGCCGGCTGGCGCTGGCGTGGAGCAGTCGGTCTGTTCCTCCCTTCCTGTGGTTCCCAGCTAGGCAGTCCACCGGGTCGGGGTTAGGGTCCTCTTACGGAGGAGACCCAGCCTCTGACTTCGGCTCGGACGCCGAGGCAATGGAGCTCGGGGAGGTCGAGGAGCATGACGGCGGCTTCCGCTTTGCTTCGCCTTTGCGGGAGGTCGGCAGAGAATTGCCGAGGGCCTACCCAGGCAGCGGTGCCTGCTGGTTGCGTGGACTCGACTGAGTTCCGCTTGCCTGGTGAGGCGTTTGCCCCTAGGCAACCCTCACAGACGCAGCTCCTCGCATTCTGCCATCGTTGGTCTCGGACGTGGTCGATCCCTCTTGTCTGGTGCCCGAGTCAGGTTTGACTTACCTGAACTTCGTCGCGCTACCAGCTTGGGGAGGATTCCCTGTTCGTAGTACCCGATCGTTTGACGAATGTGTTTTCACTTCCGTCGCCCTGGGAGGCTCGGCTTCCTCGGAGCAGCTCCGGCTGCTCGGCAAGGGCGCCCTAACTCCACCTTTGCCCCGCTGGCATCCCCTGCGACGCGCGTACCGGACCCACGAGGAGGTTCACCGAACGCAGCGATGCAGCAGGTGCGGTGGTGGTCCATGAGGCCTACCTCTCTCCTTGATACAGAGGTCGGCCCTGGAGGCGGAGGGGCATGCTGGCGCGATGTCGCGCGCATGTCGTGCTACTCCGTCAGCTTTCGGAAGTTCAGGCTCACCTCGCGACTCTTTGCGGTCTGCTGCGTCGGCGGTGATGTGCGCAGTCATGGGGATGCGCCGGCTGTGGCTGTCGGCGTCTAGGTACTCGGCAGCAACACAGCAGACCTTGCTGGCTCTCCCTTTCCGTCTGGGAGCGACCCTCTTTCCCGGAGCCCAGCAGGTCATACGGGGAGGCTGCCGCTGCAGCTACCTCCTTCAAGGATTCTAAGGCCTTGTTGGAGCACCGCGGGTGTCTCGCCCCAGCGCCCCGCCACCTTCCTCCGCCCGGGGTGCAGCCTACACCCGAGTCTGCCGGCTGGCTTCGCCGCTTGGTAGGTAGGGCGGAGGCATAGGTCCGCCAAGGGTAGGGCAAGGAGCAGTCCTCGACTAGCTCCCAGCCGCGCGCGCGCTGGGGAGGTCTGCCCGACCTCCGTTAACCCATCAGGCTGCCGCTCAAGCCGTGTGTCACGCCCAGTCAGCTCGCTACTCGGGTCCACGACGCCGCTCCTACCCCATATCCCAGTGGGAGGCAGCCTCTCTCTATTCCTGCCGGAATGGGAGAAGGCTACCAACAACGCAGGTGCTGGCCACGGTCAGCATAGGCCATCTCCCACTGTGGAAGGCGAGGTCCGCCCGACTTCACGGCATACGTCGCACTCCGGTGCCGTCATGTCAAGCCAGGGCGGACATATTATGCGACGAAGTTCAGGCTCTGCTGGACAAGTCCGCAATCGAGCTTTTATTCCACCGGAGAGGAACAGGCGGGATTTTATTCCACGTACTTCCTCGTCCGAAGAAAGACGGCGGGTTCGTCCGATTCTCAACCTCAAGGGGTTGAATCGCGATGCTCGAAGTACCATCCTTCAAGATGGAGACACTGCGCTTTCGGTGATCTCATCTGTTCAGCCCGGCGATTGGCTCACGTCAATCGACCTAAAGGATGCGATATCTGCATGTACCCATACATCCCTCGTTCAAGCAGTACCTTCCGGTTCTCTTACGGCGGGATGTATTACCAATTCAGGGTGCTCCCCCGCATATCGACTGCCCCAAGGGTGTTCACCAAGCTCATGTTAGTCCCAGCTACCCTAGCTCGCCAAGCAAGGAAGGCGTTGTTACCCTTACCTAGGCGACTGGTTGCTCGGAGCACTAACACAGCCAGCGAAGTCAAGATGCTACTCACACAGTGATAGACATTCTAACTTCGACTGGGGTGGATCATCAACCTCAAGAAATCCGACCTGGTACCCACCCAGGACTTGGTTTTTCTTGGGCGCGATTCCAAACAAACAAGGATCTCGTTTCCTTGTCGCCCGACCGGGTCACCAGAGTTCGGAGATGGTATCTTCATTCCTCTCCCAGCCCCAGGCACCAGGCGGACTTGGCTCCGTCTACTGGGCCATATGGCGGCGATCTCTGTAGTGTGGCGGGCGCTGTTGGTTGAGATCGCCCCATACAGCAAGCTTTGGCTCGGCTGTGGACTCACACGGAGGATCTGGGGCGCAGTCTCACAGTCCCCGAAAGTGGTTGACACCTCACCTTCAGTGGTGGACAAATGTCGGGGAATCTCACCAGGGGTTCCCCTTGGAAATCCGACGCCAGCTCTCACAGTTCAAACAGATCGTCCCCTCACGGGCTGGGGGCGTTCTGGGCAGTCTGTCGGCTTCCGGACTCTGGTCGAAGCGAAGCTCACCTTCACATCAACGTGTTGGAGCTGAGAGCTGTGCGGTTGGTATTCGAGCGCTTCAGAGAGCATGTCCGTGGCCAGGTAGTCCGTCTTCAGTTAGACAACCAGGCGGCCATGTCGTACATCCTGAAGCAGGGAGGCACGGTGTCCCCAGCGCTCCTCCGGGGAAGCGTGGGACTTTCTCCTCTGGAGCGACCAGTACGATTGTCAGGTACTCCCTGTTTATCTCCGGGGCTGGAGAAGCGTCGCGAGCAGATGCGCGCGCTCGCGCGGATCCTGGCCCCGCGACGAAGTGGATGCTCGACAGGCAGATATTCACAGTAATCTCCCAGTTGTGCGGTCGTTCGAGGTGGATCTGTTTGCGTCGGCGGACGCATCAGACACCCGTGTTCTGCTCGGATACCGGACCCAGGGGCGTTGGCTGCCGGCGCCTTCCTGCTGGATGGGACGGGCAAAGTGCTCTGGGGCGTTCCGCCGTTACCACTCATTCCCGTGTCCTTTCACAGCTGTCCACCCAGCCAGCTCGGCTACTTGTGCTACTGGCACCGCTTTGGCGTCACAGAGCTGGTTTCCGGTAATTCTCAGGTTTCTGGCTCAGCCTCCTGTTCTATTACCTTTGCGTAATCGGACATTCTCACTCAGAGCGGAGCTTCCCACCCAAATCCACGGATTCAGTGGGTGGCTTGGCCTCTGTCAGGTCTAACCTCGAGGCACGCTGAATTCCTGCAGCAGTTGCAGACACAATTCTGGCTTCGGTGGGATTCGACAAGCGTTCAGTACGAGGATAGGTGGTCCCGCTATCGGCGCTGGTGTTCAGATAAGGGATTGCAGATCCCTTTTCTCGCGGATTTAGTCCCAGTATTGGAGTTTTGCAAGCTCGTTTGGAAGAAGGCCTGGCGGCCGACCATTCGCGGCTACTCCACCGCTATTTCCACTTTTCACACCCCTGTCGATGGTGCTCTTCTGGGGCAGCACCCTCTCGTGGCAGCTTTCTAGCTGGCGCTGGGCGGATTCGACCTGCTCTCAGGCGAACCAGTCCACCTTGGGATTTGTCGATCGCGTGCTTTCGATTGGCTGTCGGTCCCACTTTCTCACACCTATCGGCTATTTCCATTCAGTTGTTGACCTGGAAAGCTGTTTTCTGGTGGCGGTAACATCTGGTCGAAGAGTGGCGATTTACATGCTATGTCGTCCGACCGGCGCTGACTGTGTTTCACACGGATCGTGTCAGTATTAAGCCTCCCAGATACTTACCGACCGAAGGTCGATCATTTCCATGTGACAGCTCCTATCGAACTTCCTACTCTTACCCAGCCTTCCACGGGGACCACTCCTACGAGCACTCACCCGTTGGATGTCCGTGAAGGCGCTCAAAGTCTATATCAAGCTAACGCAGGGGATCCGTGACGGGTACCCAGCTGTTCTGTTATTACGGTGGTGGGAAGGCTGGTCTGCCAAGCCGCAGCAAGCAGACTTTGTCTCGCTGGCTAGTATCGTCTATATTTGTGCCGCTTATCAGGCTAAGGGCAAGCCTCCCCTGAGGGGTTGAAGGCTCACTTTCGGTCAGGGCAGTAGCCGCATCAAAAGCTTTTGCATCGGCACTCCCCATTGAAGAGATCTGCTCTGCGCTATTTGGAGCCCGCCAAGCGCGTTTATCGCCATTATCAGCTCGATCGCATTCCGTGTCGTGCAAACTTTGGCCGTACTGTTCTCTCCAGTGGACAGTGTCCTGCCACCCTGACCGAGTGAGTCTTGGTTTATTGGTTTGTTTTGACGCTACTGTACAATAAGATTCCATTATTGACATGTCTGCTAATATGAGCACTCAGAGAACCTGTACCCCCTTTCGATTCTCTACGGAGTTACTGTATCGTTAGTGAGTGGTATTTTTGTTTTCCCCCTACGGTGCTCTCATGAAAGAAGCCACTTAGTGGGTCGGATTTCGTTGATATTAAGCACTCGTGCAATGTCTCATTATGCTAGAGGTCGTCTTTGAGCACAAATCCTCCCTGTCAGTTCCCCTCCCATAATGCCTCGTGAGGAAGCCGAAACTGGGTCAGTGACAGGTGAGTGTTATGGCCTGTTCAATTTTTTTTTTTTTCCATGATCTGATCGCTATATTTTGAGTGTGCTTGGACAGAATTCCCTCCTCCCTGGCCTCCGGTCTTTGGGAGTCTGTGATTATGCATAATATGTACCCCAAGGACGATCTCTCTGAAAAAGAATTAACCAAACCTGCAGAGGTTTTCAATTCTTTGAAGAGAGTCGTCCTTGGGGTAGGGCCTTCCCACCTCCCCGCAATTCTGTTCACTGATAAGAATTCAGCAGAAGGAATGATGATACGGGTCGAGGAGCCTACCCAGTTGGTGCGCATGCGCTAAGGGAGGTAACTCCGTGAGGTAGGGTCCGTATAATAAATAAAAGAGTTTATTTATTGTACAATCTTTTTATTCAAAAAACATTGATACAACTGTCACAGGACATTTTTCAGCCGGAAAATGCATAATATGTACCCCAAGGACGACTCTCTTCAAAGAATTGAAAACCTCTGCAGGTTTGGTTAAGTTGTATAACTGTCCCTTTACAACAATATCACGGCTGTTTAACTGCCACATCACAGTAATGTCACAGTTGCATAACTGCCCCACCACAGCAATGCCACAGTTGTATAACTGCCACATCACAGTAATGTCACAGTTGCATAACTGCCACATCACAGTTGCATAACTGCCACATCACAGTAATGTCACAGTTGTATAACTGTCACATTACACCAATATCACAGCAAATGTTACATCCAAATTTTGGACTGCAACATCACTGAAAAACAACATTACACTATTTCTAAAATATATTACATTAATAGCCCTAGTGTGAACTTGACAGTGGAATGTTTTTGTCTCAAAATTTTGACGATTAGTTTTGTGTGATCAGAGCCAAAATGGAGAAAATATTTATGACAATATTATGCAACAGATGGAGGAGGAAACTCTGCCAAAAGAATAACTTTGCTTAAAATGACATGTATTGAATTATGCCTCAGCTAACCATTGATCCATGGTGGGAAGACTGAATCTACGGTCAGAGGCAGTGACTTAAACCAAGCGAACTAAGAGCCTTAACGGTCAACATATTTTGAACGCTGTAGTGACAGTGGAAAAACTGTTGGTGTAAAAACTGAAGATACATACTCTTGCAATATAATTTTGTTTTGATAGTAACACCTTTTGAGTATGAACAGACAAGTCGCAATGGCTGCTGGAAAAATATATAAGTATAATAATTCAGTAAAGATAGTATGTGACATCTAAATGGCCAATCAGAACATTGAAAGCTGCATTCCAAATGACAGAGGGATACGCATCTACAACTGCAGACATCCCATAGCCCATGGGAAGTACATGTACTTTCCTACAACAGTAAGCCGCTTTCTGATTGGCTAATATCAACTTCCTGTTGGTCATTAAACAGAGAAAGTACATGACAGGTCGGCCTGAAATTGGATGTTGCCGCAGCTATAGTGAGCAATAACATATTTTCGTCTGGCCCCAAATACTCAGAGATATCAACATGAAAATAACCCAAAATATAATTCTCTTACCTCTTCTATCTTCTCCACCCTGAAATATGGAGACATAAGACATAAAAATGGATTCAAATTTTGTCTTTTATCTTGCAAGCTGTCATTTTGTAATACCTATTTTTATATTACATCATATTTTGCTCAGGCCAGACCTATTGTATTTCTTGTTTTATGGACCTGTCGGTCCTATTTCTTCAAGAATAGGGGCGGTGGGGTAGCCTAATGGTTAAAGTGTTGGCTCGTCATGCCGAAGACCAGGGTTCGAATCCCCACATGTTTGAAGGCCATTTCTGGTGTCCCCCGCTGTGATGTTGATGGAATATTGCAGTCAGTCAGTCTTCAAGAACAAGGAAGACGAAAAAAAATTCCTCGCTTACTTTGACTGATCATTTATATCTTATTTTGCCCCCCTCCTGCCTGTAGATTTTCTGAGGACAAACATCCGTAAAACAAGAAATAGATTTGGTCTGGCCTGACAAAGTAACAAAGACGACATTCATCTTGCCTCTTGAAAAGGAGTCAAGAAATATTGTGATTATTAATCAATGACGACAGTGATCTGTATGGTAATGCGAATGAAGTGAAAACAAACACAGTAAGTAAACAGCAAGGCATACATGAATGACTGGACAATCAGATCCTGGCAGTCTTGGGACATAACTCTACACAACTGAATTGACAATCAGATCCTGGAAGTCTTGGGACATAACTCTACACAACTGACTTGACAATCAGATCCTGGCAGTCTTGGGACATAACTCTACACAACTGACTTGACAATCAGATCCTGGAAGTCTTGGGACATAACTCTACAAAACTGACTGGACAATCAGACCCTGGTAGTCAGGGGACATAACTCTACACAACTGACTTGACAATCAGATCCTGGGAGTCAGGGGACATAACTCTACACAACTGCCTTGACAATCAGATCCTGGCAGTCTTGGGACATAACTCTACACAACTGCCTTGACAATCAGATCCTGGGAGTCATGGGACATAACTCTACACAACTGACTTGACAATCAGATCCTGGTAGTCAGGGGACATAACTCTACACAACTGACTTGACAATCAGATCCTTGTAGTCATGGGACATAACTCTACACAACTGACTTGACAATCAGATCCTCATAGTCAGGGGACATAACTCTACACAACTGACTTGACGATCAGATCCTCGTAGTCAGGGGACAGAACTCTACACAACTGACTTGACAAGCAGATCCTGGGAGTCATGGGACATAACTCTACACAACTGACTTGACGATCAGATCCTGGTAGTCAGGGGACATAACTCTACACAACTGACTTGACAATCAGATCCTCGTAGTCAGGGGACATAACTCTACACAACTGACTTGACGATCAGATCCTGGGAGTCAGGGGACATAACTCTACACAACTGACTTGACAATCAGATCCTGGCAGTCTTGGGACATAACTCTACACAACTGCCTTGACAATTAGATCCTGGGAGTCTGGGGACATAACTCTACACAACTGCCTTGACAATCAGATCCTGGGAGTCAGGGGACATAACTCTACACAACTGCCTTGACGATCAGATCCTGGGAGTCATGGGACATAACTCTATACAACTGACTTGACGATCAGATCCTGGTAGTCAGGGGACATAACTCTACACAACTGACTTGGCAATCAGATCCTGGGAGTCAGGGGACATAACTCTACACAACTGACTTGACAATCAGATCCCTCCTCAAAGCGAGTCAGGCAAAGGACATAACTCTACACAACTGACTTAACAATCAGATCCTGGTAATCAGGAGACATAACTCTACACAACTGACTCTGACAATCAGATCCTGGTAGTCAGGGGACATAACTCTACACAACTGGATTCACAATTAGATCCTGGTAGTTAGGGGACATAACTCTACACAACTGCATTCACAATTAGATCCTGGTAGTTAGGGGACATTGGTTCAAATCTCATAATTGATGATTGGTTCATTACAACTGATCAATCATTGAAAATACATTGTTAGCATCATTTCCTGGTTATGTTTGTTAATGCACAAAAAAATAAAGAAAAAACATATAGTTCCTTCAAGTTTTTTTCCAACTGCACAAAATGCATTTGCATCTCTAACGGATGACTAGTATGTTAGGGAAAAAAATTTCATCGAGTCCTTAAGAAAAACTCAATCATGACTTGGACCGAGCTGGCAGTGCTTATGAAATGTAGCACTTACTAATAGGGCTTCAACGAGTCCATTTTTTTGGACTCGAGTACTCGAGGGGTGAGACTCGACTCGGACCCGAGTACTCGAAATTCATACCTTTCAAGCAAACGATAGCGTAACCGGCATGACATGTGTTCCGATCACACAAGTGAACACTTACTTCTTTCCGACTGCATATCGTCGTGTGACTAACATTTCCTACTGGTCAGAATCAGTATTTGGATGTTTACTTGACAAACATTTTTTTTCTTCGTACTTCTTGTACTGCCTGCAAAACGCAGTGAGATACCGCACAGGCGGCATTTGGTTATTTTGCTCTTTTCACTATCCAGATCAAGATCATATATTTGATTTTTTTATCTTTCTCCATGTCTATCAATTGTCTATCAAGATAGTTACCTAATCATTTTAAAAAGTGAAAACTCAAACCATGTATAATATTTACTCTCATCTGCAGACTTGTAGCAACTAATACCATACAGCCACACCGAGTGAGGAGTAAACTATTTAATCTAGGTGTTAATAAAAACATCATCAGATGGGTTAAAGAATTCAGGGTACATAGAACTCAGTATGTCAGTGTCAATGGCTATCAATTTTCTTTTCTCTCAACCTCTACTGGAGCTCCACATGGCTGTGTTCCTTCATCCGTACTCTTCGTTTTGTATACCTGATAATTTCTGATTCTGAACATTATTATCGTCAAGGCATTGACTAAACCGTAATGACAGTTTTTTATCAAACCTTTATTCAAAGTGTGTTGGCCTACAATTTTCTATGTTGGTATGGGGATCTGTCTCATCGCAACAGAAACAAATTTTTCAATTTTGTTAATACTGCTTGCAAAATTTCTGGAGTGTCTTTTGGAGTGTACTCCCTTTATCTATGAGCGCCATATTGTCAAAAAGGGAGCTAAAATTAGATTTGATAGTTGATATACTTGATCTCAACATTTTGAACTACTTCCTTCTGGACGCTGCTGACGATTACCTTCCCTCAAAACAAACAGAGCTGGACAGTCTTTCATACCATCAAGTATTCGTGAATGCAACAAATATTTTGAATCACCATCATGTGATTAGAACTAGAATTATTCAGCCTCTTTACCTATGTGGTTAATTGAATTATATCATGTCAGTTTTATTTATAAATAGCATTCGTTTTGAGCATGTAATTATTGTGTATATTTTTGTGAACTGTGTATATATTCATTTTGAGACAGTTTGGATGTATAAGAATTTCCTCCGGGATAATAAAGTTATATCTTATCTTAATATTAGACGTTAATGGCCGCTCATGATAAGCAAATGGCAGACAGTCTGTCAACGTCAAATAATCCGAGTTATCTTCCCTTTTTCGAGTCCTCGAGGCCTTGAAAATGGACTCGAGTCCAGCTAGACCCGACTCGTCCTCGAGTACTCGAGTACCCGTGGAAGCCCTACTTACTAACAGACAAAACCAACCTTGTGAAAACTATTGTTAAAGCAAACGAGTATTCCAAAATTGTTTGTGTTCGATAATGAGAAAACATGATCGATTGCTTGGTCGTTTATTCATTGCGACCAATCTTCGATTATTTCAATTAATCAGACCACTAAACTGCACTGATCATCAGATCCTGGTAGTCTGGGTAGTCAGACATAACTCTACACAACTTCATCATTAAGCTTTAATCACATTTACTTACCCATTTAGTCCAGTCAGACCAAAGAACAGTCAATTTCTCATTATTCACAAAGTGATTATCGTCATGAAAGCAACGTGCAGCATCAGCTTCGTTCGCATAGGCTAAATGGGCAGAATGCGGATGTCTGAAAAGTAGGAATGTAATGAACAATGAAAGTAACAAAACAAAGGATACAGGCTTCCTGAGGGGTCACATGTTCCCGCTACAGACAAGGAATACAGGGAACCTAATCTCCTCATATCTATTTTTTTTGGCTGGTTGTTCAAGTCCACACTCTGCAATATTCCAGCAATAAAACGGCAGTCATGCCAGATGCATGAATGGGATGTTGAGTTGCAGGTGTACTAATTCATTACATGAAAGCACCAAGTGTCTTTAATTTAGATTTCAAAGTGCAAAGACCGATTAAGCAAGGAGGAACGTTTGGATACAACGATGTCAGTATCGAGAGAAATGAAAACCACAGTTTTCTGTCTGATCACATGAAGAACTGTGAAACATGTCACTAACTAACTTTATCTTAAAAACAAGTCATGATGTGAGTGTTCACAATAACTTGTTTTAGCTTTATTACTGCTGTTCGAAAACAGACGTCCAAAGTGAGTCAGTGACTGAGTGAGTGAGTGAGTTTAGTGTTTCGCCACATTCAACAATATTCCAGTTATATGGCGCCAGTCTGTAAATCAATAGTCTGGACCAGACAATCCAGTGATCAACAGCATGAGCATTGATCTGCGTAAGTGGCAACCGATGACATATGTCAACCAAGTCAGCGAGTCTGACCACCTGATCCCATTAGTCGTCTCTTACCCAAAAACTGTGATGCATTAGCCTTGGTTGTGAATTTTCCAATAAATAAAAATTTTTTTGGTGTAACAGCGTTTAGATATTATTCTACATTCATTATCGATTATTCACGAGTTAGATTCCCTTTTCTTATTTTCCCACAAACTGTTTTTATCCTCAGTGGCGAAGGGATATATTCTACTGGTTGGGGATTTCACAGGATGGGGTTATTTAAGAGTCCTGCCTCTGGATCCACTAGGATACATTATTGTATGACAAACAGGTTTTAGGTTAGAGAAGAGTGAATATGGTATACACCTTCAGAGACATTAGAACAAGTTCCGCATATTTAGTGCAATCAATGACATTCATATTCATTGTTTGTGTCTTTCAGTACATCAGGGACAACGACATTAGATAGTTTAACAGACTGATGGAGTGCATGTTGTAAGTTAATTGACAATAATGCGGACACTGAAGTGTATCTTATTACAACTATTTCGACAGCAGTATTAACTTAACCATCACCAGGCAATACAATCATACAACATTCATTTCTTCAGCAATCAAATTTAGCTTTCGCTCCACGCTAATCGTTTTCTATATAGACAATGCAATGATCAATGTTGAGACAGTTATAAGCATCAATTACACCAGGCTCATATTACACAAGAATAACTGTTTCACATTTTTTATTTAGAAATAGCGTTGAATACCAGACTGTGTTCTTAAATCTATCCCTGGTGACATCAGATTGACAGCTGATTTTTCTATCAATCAATATACTTTAAATTTCCTTGCTATCATGACTGTTTTGACTGATATTGTTCAGGACATATACCCATATGTCTAAGGTCTTTGAGCTAAAATTTAATGTTTTTTCCATGTTTGCATTACCTGTTGCTACAAACACAACACAGAAAGCGTCAGCATGAAATTACAGTTTCCACTATGATGTCAGGCCATGTGACGAGAACTATGCTTTCACGTCGCAGTGGTTTCTTTTGTTACAAACATTGCCTTTGGGATTTTTTTGTTTGGATACTTGTTTTAACATGCTATATAAAAAAATCCATATACTTACTTTTTACTGTATATCTCATTAACAAAGGGGAGGCAGGGTAGCCTAGTGGTCAAAGCATTTGCTTGTTAATTCGAGGACTCGGGTTTGATTCCCCACAAAGGTTCAATGTGTGAAGTCTATTTCTGGTGTCCTCGGCTATGATATTGCTGGAATATTTCCAAAAGTGGCATAAAACTAAACTCACTCACTCACTACCTTAACAAAGCTGACAAATGCACTTACGCGGCATTCGATATGATCATACAGCTAGCCAGGCCTCCATACGTCTTGAAGTGCTCGTACAGCTGATCTTCGGTGGTCGATGCATTCATATCGGGCACATAAAGATAACAGCTCTGGGCTTTCTGCAACAATAAAAGTCATGTATACAAAACATACTGGCACTTTCTATGGCCCGATGTCAGCTTAAACAAGAGTCATCAGGAGCTGACATATCCCCCCGGCCCCCACATATTTGAAAGAACAAATCATCTGACAGTCCAAATCATTTCCATGGAAATCTTGAGAAATATAGATGCCAAAAATCTGAAAATAGCAAAAGGCACCATTTCAAAATTTGCCTAATATATCTGCCAAGTTCTGTTGAAGGATACTGAACGCTTTTCGAGTTGTGCACCAGAAATGAAACCCACCCCTTCCCTTTTGGGACTAAGTCCGAATCGTTTCCATGGAAACCGGGAAAAATAAGTATGCCCAAATTATGACAAATAGCAAAAGGCACCACTTTGGCATCTGTCACACATATCTGCCAAGTTTTGCTGAGAGATATTAAGAAGTTTTCGAGGTGTGCTCTTGAAACGAAACCCACCCCTCCCTTTTGAGACTAAGTCCGAATTGTTTCCATGGAAACCAGGAAAAATAAAAATGCCAAAAATCTGCAAATAGCAAAAGGCACCACTTAAGGTTCTGTATGATATATCTACCAAGTTTTGCTGAAAAATATTGAACGGTTCTTAAGTTATGCTCTGGAAACGAAGCCCACCCCTCCCTTTTGGGACTAAGACCGAATCATTTCCATGAAAACCGGGAAAAATAAATATGCCATTACATGTCGGGGGGATAAAAAGGTTCATTTGCCCATTTTTCATTTATCACCCTGTAAAACTTTTGTGAAAATGTTCACATGCTCAGAGATAATTTCAGAAAGTAAAACTGCAACTACCTAAAATTGTTTTAACTTTTGAATTCAGCACAACAATCTTCACAAACATATCACTAGGAACTCTTTCTGCAAAGCACACTGGCCTTGAGATGTCAGCCAGTTGCTGGGTTCATTGAGTGACCTCCTCTCTACATGCATTGTCACTGAATAAACCCAGTAAGTGAATAAACCCCAAATTTATCCATATTTGTGAACTGATAACAGCAACAGAAGCATTTTTAAGAAAACACTTGTTTATGGCGTTTGTTTTGACACATTTTACTGTTTCAGTTTCAACTTAATTCGTAGGGATAAAATTAATAAAATTGAAAATTTTAACTATAAATTGTATATTTATAATAATTATCCTATATCATGGAGTGTTGAGTGAAAACAAACTGTAAACAAAGTTTCTGGCCTCTGTGGAACCCTTCACCTGAACACTCCCCATTGCTCATGGAGAAGGACAGCCTGGCAGACTCCTGGGAAGCATGCAGCCAGCTCTCCGGTTGGTCATGTAACTCCCCTTTTAAGTCCACTTTTGTACAAGACAAAAGGACGGAACTCGGCAAGTAGACCCCGCCTGGGCAGCTCACAGTTTTAACATTGAGTTCCTCATTGATGTGTTTTGACCGGGAGCGAAATGCATTGAAATCCACCAAAGTGCAGTTTTCACACTTCACTGACGTGATTGCTCGTAAGAGTAGAGGTAAGTTAGCATGCGTGCTGATTGCGTCAGAGTACACAAGTGGCCTAGATAGAACAAGTATATATGGATGACAACTTCTTTAATTCTAGAGCATGACGTTTCGATACAGGTTTTTGTATCATTTTCAAGAATGAATGATACAGGGAGATAACAGGTGATATATACAACAGAAGACTAATTAACAAGGTTGAGGCAAAATTAACAATGTGATGATAACGATTAAAGGGATAAAAATGTCTTTATTCAGTATTTACAAGGTAAACGATCTCCGCAGAGGATGGCCCTCTATCTACATTGTTGATCCGATGACAGTTGCTGCGCCATTACCAAAGGACCAAACTGATAGAGTACCTGATAGGTCGCATAGGTAGTGGGAAGTGTAGGTCGTCTCTGATTTCCAGAAACATCCCTCTGTGATGGCAGTCAGCGAATAGTTGCTATGAAGCGCCATTAGGGTTCGAAGCAGCTGGAGAAGAAAGACCGGTGAACGTGTAGGCTTTAAGATTGTAGATCACATTCAGAATGCAAGTGTTATACGGGAGACTCCACCAATGTAGCTGTTGAGGGCAGGATGAACAGGCACTAACACAATCTATGACGCAGCCACATAGATTTGTCAGTGCTCTGATTGGACAGAGGGTGAGGTCTTCGATGTCATCAGGTCCGAAGATAGTGGACAATGGGGGTAGAATAGACAATCTAAACGGTTGTCCTGGCAGTTGGTTCTTCGCAATGGTCCCATCTAAGGCCCTGAAAAACTCTGCCGTGCCTCCTCCTTTCAAACCACACTCTGTTGACATCCAGAGCGTGGAGTTCCGAAATATGAGCAGCAGTAGCTAAAGCTACCAGGAAGAAGGTCTTGAAGGTGATGCAGTCAAAACTCTTCTCATCTCGAAGTTCCTAGTCGTCGGAGATGAGATGTTTAAGTATGATGGAGAGGCCCCAAGCTGGAGGCAGAAACTTGGTCAGCCAACTTGGTCAGCAAACTTGTTAGAATACAACAAGAACTGGAGTTCTGGCACAGTGAAAATCTTATTGTCCATAGCTGTGGCTATCACCGTGTTGATGGCTGCTAGATAAGTGGAAAGTTTAGACCCCTCCAATCTCTTAGACATACGCAGATGTTGTAGGTAGTCAGAAACAACATGGGCAGAAGCTGTGGTAGGCTATAGTATGCCCTTCAATCTCCAATAGTCTTGTAACTTCTTCCACTTGTCATCATGTAAGGTCCGTGTAAAAGTTCAATGAGCTGGAGTTATTAGCAGCCACCACTCTTCTAGAGTATCCCTTGGCAATCAAAGATCTCTGGAGATAAAGATGAGGCTGTGTATGGCAAGTGTGGTCTGAAGAGACCGGTAGAATTGGCTGAGGCTGCATAGTACGGATCACAGATTGCTCCACATGAGAATGGATCACTGATCCAGAAGAAATCTCCGAATTGGTTAGGACATCATCAACTATGCCCTCAGGTTCGGCGATCCCTGCCAATTCGGAGATTTCTTCTGGCTCGACGAACCTGAAGGCATAGTTGATGATGTCCTAACCGCAGGGATCACCAACTTAAGACATAACTTTCTACGACAGAGGAGTGGCGATCAAGGGGTTCGCTAATATAGAGAGGACTGCAGAACAACTGTAGATCCAGGTAGATTGCTGATCCAGTGAAAGTCACCGCTGATGAGAAGATCGCCAATCCCGGAAGATTTGCCGATTGTTGATCGCGATCGCCGCTGAAGAGAAGATCACCTATCCTGATTGCAGAGGTAGAAATCGCTGATCTCCAGTAAACCTAGAATCCTGTGAAGTAGGTGAAGATCGGGGAAGCACAGATCCTAGCTGGTCTGGTGATCCATTAACTACCACCACTCTACATGAAACTGAAGGTCTGGGGGTCAGCTAAAACTTCTTGTTGAATCATGCATGGAAAAAGCATCTGATATTCTTGCTGAGGTAGGAGTCCGATCGGGTGGCCTATAGGCCTTCTTGGTAGGAAGTCCTTGATTTCTCGGGTGCAGAAGGGCCCAATTCGTCTAATTTCTTTCCATCCCTGGATAGCCACCTGGATCTGAACTTGTGATAGGCCGCAAAGTCGTCATCTTATAACTTTTCACAAAATATGCATCTTGCAATCCAGGCTCACAGCCTATGCAGTCAATTCATGATGGATGGGGGTCTGAAGAAGAGAAATTCTTCTTACACTTGTCACAGACCTTTTTTTTTCCTTGAGTACTTGTGTTCTTTACCCATGACTGCATAGGCTCTCAGCAGACAGAAACAGCACATCAGCACTCAAGTGCGACAAGAAAGAGAAATGGCAAGACAGGGGAATCACATGACCAACCGGAGAGCATGCTACATGCTCCTCAGGAGGCTGCCAGTTTGTCCAGGAATGGGAGCAATGGGGAATGCTCGGACGAAGGGTTCAAGAGGGGCCAAAAACCTGTTTACAGTTTGTTTCCACTCAACAGTCAAATACAAGACAGAGAGTACACTCCATGAGATAGGATAAGTATTATAGATATACAGTTTAAAAATATGCAAACTAACATATATACATAAGTTTTTAGACTGTGTTTCTTTCATCGCTAGGCAGTTTATTAAGCACATAGGAAAAGCACACATCCAAACTTTACTTATGAGTTCCTGGTTCCTTACTATGATCCTCATTTCTCCTTTCTTGTGTCCTTAGCTGTGATATTGATGGATATATTGCTAAAAGCACTGTTAAACCTATATCGGTGACTTTTTCACTCCCTGAATGTTATATGAAAAACTTTGCTTTTTGTGAAAACAGAATCATGTCATGTTTTCCTTGTATTGTAGATCCCCTGAAATAAGCCCAGGATGTATAGAGTATGCATACCCACCTAGAGTTGAATACATTATGCACCAACAACCTTCATCAACATCTGTCATATTCACCTTTGTTCCATAATATCTGATCCCTAAGCTGCAAAGCAAAGTCCTATGCCTTTAGTGCCTTAAAACTTCCTTGGCCTAATGACCTTGACTATGGCTGCCTGATACTTCAGTCACGAGGTATCCCTAAATAGTGGCAAAAGGAATTGTCATAAGTCTTGTTACAGATGTGCCTTGAATACAGGCTGAGAGGTACAGTTTGCAAATCCTTCAAAGTTAAATAGACAGTAACATAAGACAAAACTCATGTTGCCTAACAGAAAAACTCGAGAACTAATCCAAAATGACATCAAATTTCAGCCATGTTTCTTAGTGTGACCTCCATGACTTTGACCTCATGTGAAAGTCACCAAAAGGTTGTGCTGCCCGGCCCCACCCTACAGATCATATATACAGTTGAAGAACAGATGTGTATTTGGCTTGAACATGTCAAGAGAGCATTGAGAACATACCTCTTTAATAGCTGACATTATGTCTGGATCTGGAAAGAAAAAGGTCACCATCTCAAACATCTCATATTATATTTCACCCATCGTAAAATATAATCAGCAGCAAAAAAAAAGTCAGTACGAATTCAAAATTAGATAGGCTCTGTAATCGTACCATTACAGAAATGGACATAATAAGCTGATCAAACACATTTGTTTTTGTACAATATCCTGACACATCTCAATGAATAACTCAGCACAATTCCAAGACATTACGTGAACGTTTCCAGTCCATTCAGACTCTTGACTTCAGTATCTAGTGTGACCACCACGAGTGGCAATAACTGCAGCACAGTGTCTATGCATGGAGTGCACCAATCGATTGATGAAGGCCACTGGCACCTGGAACCATACTCTGAGAAAGGCCTGGTGCAATAAATCGGCTGGTCGGCCTTGGTATGACATTATTCAGTCTCCTCTGAATTTCATCCCAAAGATGTTCAATTGGGTTTAAATCAGGACTAAGGGCTGACCACTGCATAATGTTTTGTTTGTTTTTGTTTTATTGTTTTTAACACCATTCAGCTGTAGGAAGTCCCGTGTAGCTCTGGCTCTGGCCTGGGCATTATCATGCTGGAAAATGTTGTTCCGGTGATGTGCGAAATGTGGTATGGCGTGGGTTCTGAGAGCTTGGTCAGTGTAGCCGCCTCCTCTCCCATGACCAACATTCTGGAAGTTGGAACACCACAGAACCCACTCTCTGGTTCAGGTCTATTCCACCCCATACCATGACGCTTGCACCTCTCCATCCAAAACACATTGGTCTGGCCACGTCATCGCCATATTCTTGTTCTGCCATCTGCAGTTGATACGAAGTACCGACTCTCAGGTGTGAACAGAACAGTTCTCCATTGCCTGTATCGCCAATTTACGTGTTGTAGGGCAAACTGTAGACGTTCATGCTGATGACTAGGGTGAGGATAGGTCCACGGTAAGGTCTACAGCAATAGAATTTCCCGCTGTTAAGACGTCGGTGTACTGTATCAGTACTGATTGGTCTTACTTGTGTTCCCACTGTCTGGCATGCTGTTTAAGATGCCTGCATGAAGGGATTCTGTACATGCTGTCGCACAACATGGCGGTCTTGTCGTTTTGTGGTCACTCTTGGTCTTCCAGTATTGGGGCAATCATTTGTGGTGTTAGTGGCCTGGAAACGTTGCTGCAGCCTGTAGATGGTCCGAACGTTGACCTGGAAGTGGTTGGCAACTGCTTGTGCAGTGTGGCCAGCTTCAAGTCTTCCTAGCGCCTAGTTCCTCTGAGCTGTCATGAGTCGCGGCATCCTGCTGACGTTGTAATGTAGATGTTTCAGACAGGTTTGGGGGTGCATCTTTTAGCGGGCTGGTCCTTGCAGCTTCAGTTGCATGAAAAACATCTCAGAAATCAGGTTGCGTTTTTGAGACCATTTCCTGGGTTCCATTCTGAGTTTGGGAAGGAATGTCTTTGCTCAGGTAAAGTGTTGGAGATGTTCTCAAAAATATACAATCAAAACAATAAATGAGTTTACATTTATCCATTTCGGTGAAGGAAAATTCCAAACTGACATTTCTTTTGCTGCTTAGTATACATAATACCACCCACCATGTCTTTGTATCCAGGCCAGAAACACAGAATCTCTCTGTATTACCATGACCTGCAAGCCAGACACATGAGCCCTCTGTATCACCATGGCCTGCAAGCCAGGAACACAGGAGCTCTCTGTATTACCAAGACCTGCAAGCCAGACACAGGAGCTCTCATTATCACCATGGCCTGCAAACCAGGAACACACGAGCTCTCTGTATCAACATGACCTGCAAGCCAGACACAGGAGCTCTCTGTATTACCATGGCCTGCAAGCCAGACACAGGAGCTCTCTGTATTACCATGGCCTGCAAACCAAACATACAGGAGCTCTCTGTATTACCATGGCCTGCAAGCCAGGAACACAGGAGCTCTCTGTATCAACATGACCTGCAAGCCAGACACAGGAGCTCTCTGTATTACCATGGCCTGCAAGACAGGAACACATGATCTCTCTGTATTACCATGACCTGCAAGCCAGACACAGGATCTCTCTGTATTACCATGACCTGCAAGCCAGGAACACGGGATCTCTCTGTATTACCATGACCTGCAAACCAGACACACAGGAGCTCTCTGTACTAAAAGTAAGAAAAACAAGAAACATGTGTTGGTACTTTACAAACTATTCATTGGTTTAGAGACTTGCCAATCTAACTATTCTAAATAAGTGTTACAATGATATCTTACCTTTAGAAGCTTTCAGCAACTGCAAACAAAAACAGATGGTGTGCCATTACATGTGCCATAACCCCAGCTAAACACCCTACTATAGTAACTTGCAAAAGGCACATCACTTGTGAGTGAATGTTACAAGGTTCATACAGATAAGGACCTCTACCATTCAGGGCCTTTCCAGGCATACAGCTGTCATTTTCATGGCCTTTCAGGAGGGTGATTCTCAAGGCCATTCACATTTGACTCTAAACAGAAAGGTTTTTCTAGGGGGACAAGAAAATTAAGGCATCTGCAAACATTTATAAAACTCCTTATTCTACCTCATGTAAGAATGTCCATCTCTGATTGGTTCCATGCGGGGTATACATCTTTACGAGAGAGAATAATTCATTTGGACCCCGCCCCAAGGAAAAAGCATGCATCCACAGCGGTCAATGAACTGTTAACCAGTGGTTCATAGTCAGTACCATGTTAGTAAAATATATGATTGAATTTTAGTTTGTTTTAATGTTATATCTACATAATGAGAGAATTAAACATTCGGTAAGGTAAATTGCTTGTAGCATTATGATTCGGAGTACAGAGGGTTTTATGCGTCCCGTGTTAGGTCTTAAAACTTAACACGGGACACATAAACCCCCTGTATACCCCTCATCACAATGCTACAACTTATATTGTGGTCTGTTACATGTAAGAAAAACATGCAGAGTGCCTCTTAAACGAAAAACAAACACAACTATAAGGCTGTATATACTCAGGGTGGTGGGGAAGCATAATGGTTGAGACATCCACTTGTCACGCTGAAGACCTTGGTTCGATTCCCCACATGGGTAAATGTGTGAAGCCAATTTCTAATGTCCCTTGCCATGATATTGCTGGACTATTGCTAAAGGCGGCTTAAATATCCATACTCACTCACTCTATATACTCACATAGCTGCTCTTCCTCTCTGACACATGTACAAAAATCCTCTGGTTTTTCAGTGTGTGGGGCATTATCACAGCTTTCAGAGCATCATCTCGTTCTTTGAAGCGAACGAAGCCAAAGTTATTGTTCCTAGAACAAAAGTTAGCTGGGTTTTACACTGCTTTGAACAGAGTTTCTGAATGACACCTTAACAGGGTTGAAGTGACTCAGACATTTACAACTAGTGAAGGCAACAAGATAAGTTACGATGTTGATTAATCAAGGACAAATATAAAAGTGAATATGTGGTGTGAATAACACGTCAGCAGATCCAGGCATGGCTGACAATATAAGGGAAGTAACTTTGTTAACACAAAGAAGAAGATCATATTGACCAAGACCTTACCTTTATTTAACTGTGGTTTTTTAAACGAAATAGTAAGAACAATTTAACATTTTAATTATAAACTGCATATTTATAATACTTATCCTATCTCACGGTATGCACTAGGATAAAGTAGAACAAGACGAAGAGATAACATCGATATCTATTATTGAACTGCAAGGTAGCATGACCATCGCAAGGAAGGCTTCTCCTTCATCTGCGTTGATGATCGACGAAACTTTCTGCGCTAGCACCAACGGGCCAAACTGGTGTAAGCCCTCAAAATAAGTGACGGATAGATCTCGGAGATAGTGTGAGGCCAGAACACAAGGGTTGTATGTGAGACTTCTGCTGCCGAAGCTGTAGACAAGGGGATGAATAGTCTCTTGCATAGCCTACGTTGGTCTTCAGATGCAGCCAGTCACATCTGTAATGCTCTAACCGACAAAGCGAAATATCTTCAGTGTTGTCGGGGGCCATGAATTGTGGACACTGGTGGAATGATGAAAAGTCTCTCTGGCTCTCCGGGTACCTGGTTCTTGGCAATGAAGTCCCATCTTAGGCTAAAAAAGACTTTGTCATGCCCCTTCCATTCAAAACACACTCGTTTGACATCCAAGGCGAGGTGACTGAGGACAACCAACAGGTCCCCGGGCTGGTGGCCAGAACTTCTTTGACTTTATACAAGTGTAGTAAGGATTGGAGACTTTAACAACCGAGGCTGTGGCTATTACAGTATTGATGAGCTGCAAGATACGGAGCCAGTGTAGGAACCCTTTCCTGGAAGTGGAAATGGTGCCCTTCATCTTGCAGTAAGCCTAACCGTCAGCAATCAAGGAATTATGCATATGCACTATATGTGTAGATGGAGCATCTGTGGAGACCAAAGGAGCTGATCAGAGTGTGGTGGATCAGGACGTCGTCTCGGTCTGGAAGTGGTACTGTTTTTGGATCGGTGAGTTCGTGTAGGTTCACAAACCAACTTCTGGCTGGCCAATAATGTGTGACCAAAAGCAGTGTGATCTCCTGAGTCAATCGTAGCTTCAGTTGAACTTGAGGAAGTAAAGCCAGTGGTGGAAACATATACGCATTGAGGCCCTGACAGAGTATTGCCAGCACCAAAGTATCTGCATTTTATCTGCAATCCAAGTAAGCAAATGAGTTGTCTCTACAACGTTGATGCGTTCCAGTGAAGAAACGTCCTCCAAAGAGAAGATGCCGCAGCCTCATCCAGACAAGGACAAACTGGAACCCCGCAGAGACAGTCTGAGGTGGGTCCCAACCAAGAGCAGAGGCCACTGCTCACAATACAGCATCAAAGTCAAATGCCTGAGGACCATGGGTATGACGCGTTTGATACCAGGACTCGGGGATAATATGTTGTGAAGGTATAGAGGTAATGTCCAAAGTAGTCTGAGATGGGGCTGCTGAAACCACGTGTGAAGGGATCACTGATGTGGACTACTGTGTAAAAGTAGACAAAGTCTGATGATACAATGCTGAGGCAGCCTGATGGGGGATGGTGGAAGATGATTCACATCGATAAATGGGATTGCCGATCCAGGAGGGGGATCAACAAACTGGTTGGGATTGCCGAACTAGGAGGGAAAGCCATACTGGTGGGGATAGCCAAACTTATAGGGCTCTCCGTATTGTTAGTGATAGCAAAAGTGGTAGGGATTGCCAAGATTGTTGAACTGAATGGAAGTGCTGAATTGAACGGCACTCATGACAATTGCTTATCTCCCTTCTTTTTGTCGATTTTAGATAATCTAGCACTCTACAATGTCTAGTTATATTATCTAGCACTCTACAATGTCTAGTTATCTTAGAAAGATCCATATGTTAAGTAAGGACTGTTACTCAACTGGGTTTATATCACACATGTGCTGACTTATCAAGTAAGACGGGAACATGGACTCTCTGCTGGTGGCAATGGGCCAGTTGCCTATCATTGACGAGTCAGCATCATCAGGGTGAGCTTCTCAATATCTGGCTGGAATCGTGAGTAGTTGTGCCACTACAAGTGGTGAATGCCTGAAACGTCCTCTGTAGCAATGTCTCGATGATAGTGGTTAGCAAACACCGATTTCCAAAACCAGCCTTCCATGATGGATAATAATGAGCAATTCCCATGTAGTGCAAGTATCAATGCTAATGCTCTAACTTCATGTGGGTTAGATGCTCTAGGTGGAGCCAGTCCTGCTGCCTTGTAAGCTCGTAGAATGACAGCTCTGATCCAGAATGAGATTGTGGTTCAAGAGACTTCAATAGTCGTGGTGGGTGATAGTGGAATGAGGAGATGCTTAAATTTGATCCTTCTTATAGCAGTCAATTCTAAGTAGATTTTTAAAGCTCTGACTGGGGCAAATCCTCTGTGTCTCGATGTCTGAGGACTGATGACAATGCTGGTACGTGAAATTGACAATCTGGTTGACCAGGAAGTTGATTCTTAGCTTTGAAGTCCCATCTTAGTCCCAGGTGGACAAATGTTGCAATTTGATGGTGGAAGTGTTTTGCAAAAAATCTATGACAGGACGACCTTGATCTCTTGTTATCAGTTGGAATGGTTCCGGTTCTAACATCCATTCCGTAGGAGATGGTCAGACTGGTCTGGATAAGGCATCGTCTAAGACGTTTTTCACTCCTGGAAAGTTGCAAGCTCTTATCCATAAGATGAGATTGTCCATTAGGTTGAATAGTAGAAACATCAGTTGCAGTAGAAGCGCTGATCTTGTTGAGACTTGTAGGTTATGGAATACGCTACTGTTGAGTTGTCTGTGTTGATCATGAGAACTTGATTTCTCAGTACATGTGCCTAATGTTGAATTGTCTCGATAACTGCCTTGAATTCTAGTTGATTTATGTGCAGACTTCTTTCGTTTGGTGACCAAACTCCTGATGCAACCTTCTAGTTGAAGTATGCTCCCCATCCTTGCAGGGATGCATTGATGAAGAGATGTATACTGAACGCCGGCTCTTATAAATATGTCCCGTCGAAGACGTTCAGTTTGTTTGTCCACCAGAGTAGATATTCTTTAAGATGCTGAGGAATGGGTATCGCCTGCCAGCTGTCTAGATGAGGTGTTAGGAAGCATTGAATCGGACGTAACTGTTGCCTTCCCCTGCATGTTAGGGACTGTGCTGATGTGAGGAGACCCAACAGTTCTGCCAATCTTGTAGAGGTTCATTAAGGCGGTGTGAAGACTAGTCTGTATATTCGCTCACCCTACCTCTGGAACCATAACGTGTTTCTTTGAGGTGAGAAACTTGATTTCAAGGAATTGCAGTACCTGTGATGGTTGTAGTTCCGTTTTCATCCGCTTGGCTAACCATCCCAGTTGTGTTAGTAATTGGATCGTAAATCTAGCTGATGTCTTAGTTGCTCTGCTAGTTGATGTGCCTGCATGGCGGTGTCTAGGTAGAAGGCGCTGCGAAATCATCTCTGATGTGATAACGCCACTATGGGTTTTGTCACATGTGTAAATACCCACAGGGTCGAAGAAATTCCAAAGGGGAGGACCCTCCACTAGTAATGTTTTCCTTAGTATAGGAATAGCAGATACTTCCTCAAGTCTGGATATATAGGGATGTGCAAATAGGTGTCTTGAAGATCTATGCTGGCGTGAACATCGTTGGGTCTGATTAGGTGTCGCAACTGTGGTAGATGGAGCATCCTGAATTTGTGTGGTTTTATTAGTCTAGGTTGAAGCACTTCATGTTGTAAATGAGGCAGAATTTTCCTTTGAGTTTTTTTTTGGTACTAAGAAAATTGGAGAGTAGAGTCCTGGTGTGAGACTGTGTTGATCTAGAATCTCTACAAGTAGTGATTCGAAGGCTTCCATTAGTTTGATGTATTAAAGCACTGGGTAAGGATGCACCAGTGGTGTGACAGTGAGAGGTTGTGTCGCCTTGAATCTTGAAGCCTTCGCGTAACACCTGTAGAACATAGTCGTCTTGTAGGATTCTTCAATTTTCCCAGTAGTAGATCTCCTTTCTTTTGTGTGATGAGTGCTGACAATAACATCCCCGTCTCTGTTTTCGGGTTCTGGAAGTGGTTGTTAAAACTTTGTTGATAGCTCGAGATCTAGCTTGTCCGAAGAACGTACATTTAATAGTAGTGTCTAGGTTAGCCAACTTCCTGTCCTCCACCTTGTAGCTATGAGACTTGGAGTGGCTGATAATATGAAAATCGTTGTCAATCTCATATACGTCCACACTCGTGTGCGACAAGAAAGATAATGACAAGAGAGGGGTGTCATGTGACTGGCCTGATCACCCTGCATGCTTCCCAGGGACTACTGAGGTGTCTGAGAATGGGAGCGGTGGGGGCTGATCTGGTGAGAAAGGCCAGATTTGTTCAACTCTGATTACAGCACGTTTCCACTCCATGGTTGAAGTAAGAGAGAGAAGTGCATACTGTGAGATAGGATAAGTTTTAAATATAAATTCTTTGTATATGAATTTCTAAATAACCCACTGTTACCCCATGATATCAGTTGGGATAGTTGAACTTTTTGTTTTGACTTGAAAATTTCAAGAGTTTTGAAAATGATACAATTAAGCAACCCATGGGAACAGGTAACCCTCTATAAAGCAGGCTACAGAGATGGGGGAATTGGTGCACCAGCTTACTGTCTAAGTTTGCCACCGAGTTTGCACGAGACGATTTCCCCCAACATGGAGAAGTGCTCTGTAAGTTCTTCGGGAATAACATCATCGGGTATATTGCTCACGAACAGGCTGTTCTTCTGCAGAGAAAATTATGCATAAAAATTCACTGATAACTAAAAACAATATACATAATCACCATTCCACCTATACCAAACTAAATACAAACAATCTATGACAATGGATAAACCAAATTCGAGAGAGAAAAAGCATTCTGTAAGAAAGAGTGAGCTACCCGTTAAGATCAGGGTTAGAACCCTGGGTTAGGTCTTCATCGACCCATGCTTGTTGTAAGGGTGTATTCCTATACTGCCTACAGTTCCAAACTGCCTACAATTTAAAAGAACATGATAGGGTCCAGTGATCAGGAGGTGAAGTTAATGGTAATAGACTGATCTGACCTGTTCCACCCCTGCTAAAATGAACTTGACCAGTTAGTTGGTTAATGAACTGACCTGTTCTACCCCTGCTAAAATGAACTTGACCAGTTAGTTGGTTAATGAACTGACCTGTTCTACCCCTGCTAAAATGAACTTGACCAGTTAGTTGGTTAATGAACTGACCTGTTCTACCCCTGCTAAAATGAACGGTTCACTTCCAAAACACAGACCTCCCATAAGACAGACTCAATGAGTACACTTATTAGCTGAGCCATGCTGTAATTAATGAGCACACCCAGAGTCACTAACAACACATTCCTATCTCTCCTGGTTTACAAGTGAATACATTGTGAATTTTATAGTATTTAATACCACAAACTAAAGCTATTATTACCATTTATCTTTTCATAACACATATCATAGCAAAGACTCTGTGAAAAATCACAAAGACTCTGTCACAAATCATAAAGTTTCTGTCGGTAAAATCACAAAGACTCCACTCTCACTGTAACCAAGTTCCCTAGCAGTGCCACTGACAAACGTGTGATGTAAAATAATATGGTGCCTGGTCTCATATGCTTCACAGGTACATGTATATAAATTATTGTTTTTGATAATATTTATAAGTACATGTGAAAATATATGTTGATGTACATATATATGTTGATGCAATATGTCTTAATTTAAAAATCATAATTCATTACATGAATTGATAAAACTATAGTTAAAACCTAATGTTGTCTTTGTTATCCTGGCACATGTATACCATTATTATCAAGGGCACAGCTTAATTAAGCCTTATGCAACCAACCATAACATGTGTTGTTTTAAGGGGTCTGTCTTTTGGGAGGTCTGTCTTATGGGAAGATACCAAATACACTTGGCCAGTTAGTTGGTTAATGAACTGACTTGTTCTATGGTGTCTTCTCACTCTGCTTACAGAAGTTTTAAAAAAACGACAAGTGTTGGTTGGTAAGACATCTTATTCATTCTGAGAATTCTCAGTCTTTACATGGACACATGGATATATCATGAAAATTGTTTACTGGTTTTACAGTCTTTTACTGGTTTCACAATTACACACAACTGGCAAGGATGTCCATTTTGTTGCCATGGACTCTGATATTCTTTTTGTTGTAGAGTAATTTTTGAGAGCCTGTATGGAGCTTAATGAATCCGTAAAAATGCAGATGGTAGTGTTTGTTTGGTCAGATGCTGTCTGCAAATCCTGAACTATGGCTGCGAGTTCTGCTGTAAAGATACTGGAGTTTGCCAGGAGATTATAGGATTGTTTAAGGATTTTTTGGGGTATGTAGATACCAAAACCAGTAGTACTCTTCTGATTTCCAGCACATTCTAACAGATCCCAAATCAATACCACTCACTAAATATCTCATTCATACAAAATTATACCAAACAATCTAGCAACAAAAACAATAATATCACTTTTTACAATTTTAATTCTTTTTTATAAATATGTATATATGTTCTTTTAACTTTATAACCATTTACTACACCCCATCTATATTAAATTCAAAATCTTTAATACTCTTTACCTATTTCATTTTTTTTTTTTACCTTTTTAATTTGGCATCCCATTCAAATTTCCCTTAATACTCAGTTGTTGGGTTGTTGTTTTTTGTAGTAACACCACTTTACTACAAGAAAAAACAAGTCATGGTGAACATCAAAAATAAAGGCTATGACTTTTCATAGCCGACTTGCATCCAGCTACCCATCATCCAGACAGACTTTCCAGCTATCCCTCCATTTACGGGCATAGACATGGCCACTCTCATCTCACAAATCGCTCGAGAGGAAAAACAAAACCCTCTGGCTATTAACCTCTTAGGACACGAAGGAAACACAACTATTGTGCACAGGATAAGCCCTGTCCTAGATAAGACTGTGCAAAGGATCAATTTATTTCTGGTCGAAAAAAAGGACAAGTATCACTCACGCGAGGATAAAAAGTCTCAGCAAACTGCTGTACGATCAATCGAAGTACGCCGTGAAAAAACACTTTTGTGTACGGTGCCTCCACGGCTTCACGCGAGCTGACCTGCTGAAATCACACCGGGAGGATTGCCGAGGCCGTCCAAATTGACATGCCCGACTAAAACGACGTCTTGAAATTCGTCAACCACAAGCATCAAATGTCTGTGCCTTACGTCATCTACGCCAACTTCGAAGCCCTCATCAAAAACATTGACACCGTCGCTCCATCCCCGGACAAAAGTTTCACACACAAAACGCAAGAGCACAAAAGCCTCCGGGTTCAGTTACGTGGTCGTTCGGTGCGACGGACAAAACGAACGCTCCCGTGCTCTACCGAGGTCCTGATGCGGCCTAACGATTTCTCACATGTTTGAAACACGAAGAGAAAACCATCAGGAAAAAGCTGTACACCGTCGTCCCGATGCGCATGACGAAGGACGACTGGCGAACTCACAAGAAGGCTAAGAATTGCCACGTGTGCGACCAACCCCTGTGCGGGGATTCCGTGAGAGATCACTGCCACGTAACCGGCAAGTACAGAGGCGCCGGTCACGTGTGCAACCTGAAGCTTAAAATCGATCCCAACACCATCAAAATCCCCATCGTGTTTCACAACCTTCACGGGTATGATTCCCACTTGATCATGCAGGCCATGGCAAAGTAACGTGCATCCCCAACAACATGGAAAAATACATCTCCTTCTCCTTGGACGGTCTGAAATTCATAGACAACATTCAGTTCCTGACGTCATCTCTAGACAGTCTTGTCAACGTCAAAGACTCGGACGACTTCAACATCACCAGTCGATAAACCGACGCCGAGACTCAACCTCTGCTGCTGAGGAAGGGCGTCTACCCCTACGAATACATGGACGGCTGGCCCAGGTTCGACGAGACGTGATTGCCTCCCATCGATGGCTTTTGCAACAACTTGACCGACTTGTCCATCACCCCGGATGATTACTTGCGAGAAATTAGCGTGTGGGACAAAGTGGGCTGCAAGACGCTGGGATTACGACGACCTGTACTTTAAAACGGACGTGCTCCTGTTGGCCGACGTGTTCGAGATATTCATAAAAACGTGTGACACCGCGTGGTATTTCTCATTCCCCGGTCTCTCATGGGACGCCTTGTTGAAAAAGACCAGCGTGGTGCTGAAACTGCTGATGGATTACAACATGCACCTGTTCGTGGAGAAAGGTCTGTGGAATTTCTATGGCCTCCAAAGGATACGCCAAAGCCAACAACAAGTACGTGGAAGGTTACGAACCCAGCAAACCCACCAAACACATCCTCTATCTCGACGCCAACAACATGTACAGCTGGGCCTTGAGTCAGTATCTCCCCACTGAGGAATACGAATGGGTCTCCTCACCCGAGATGATTGATGTGAATAGCATCGCACAGGATTGGAACAAAGGCTACATGCTCAAAGTGGATTTAGAGTACCCCCGAGAATTACATGATTAACAACGGTGCTGGGAAACAATAAGCTGACGGTCAACGTCGAAAAATTCATGCCGAACTTGATGAACAAAATGAAATACATCGTTCACTATCGCAACCTGCAGTTGTACACTTCGCTGGGAATGAAACTCACGAAAATGAACAGGGCGCTTGAGTTTGATCAAAGTCCTTGGATGGAGCCTTACATCCGAATGAGCACAGACTTGCGAAAGATGGCCACCAGCGATTTAAAAAAAAACAAAAAAACTTGGTGTTCGGCAAGACAATGGAGAATTTGAGAAAACGTGTTAACGTGAAGCTGGTCAGATCCAGCGAGGAAGAAAAACTCAGGAAACTCATAGCCAGCCCTGGGTACAATGTGTTAAGCCCATTTCTGGTGTCCCCCGCCGTGATATTGCTGGAATATTGCTAAAAGCGGCGTAAAACTAAACTCAGTCAGTCAGTCATAGCCAGCCCAGCGTACAACCGGAGCAAAATATTCGACAACAACTTGGCAGCACTGCACATGAACAGAAGCCACATAAAATTCAACTGGGCCGTTTACGTTGGGATGAGCTTCCTCGACTTATCCAAACACTTGATGCACGATTTCCACTACAACGAGATGAAGAAACAGTATTGCGACAGGTACGAAGTGCTGTACACTGACACGGATTCCCTTCTCATGGAAATTCACACCGAGAACATCTATGAGGACATTAAGAAACACATGCACCTGTACGACACCAGCGACTACCCCAAAGACCACCCTATGCACAGCCAAGTCAACAAAAAAGTGCTCGACAAGATGAAGGACTAATGCACGGGCACCCTGATCGCTGAGTACGTCGGTTTGAAACCCAATGTATTCCATCAAGAAAGCCGCCGCTGACAAAATCAGGTAGGCGAAAAGCGTGATAAACCATGTGGTGAAAAAGCACACGCCAGATTCAAGGAAGCCCTGTTCAAGAATAAAACGTGCAAACACCAGAGGAACATGCTGAGAAGCGACGGACACAGGATATACAGACTGAGAATCAACAAGACCTTGCTGTCTCCCATGGACACGAAACGATGGATCGCCATCGACAGAGTCACCACTTACGTGTACGGGCACAAACGCGTATCGAATTATTGAACACTCACGCACACATGCGTACATACATCATGGAGAAGTTTTATTACAGCCCGCATGGGTACTGGAAAGGCATGGATGCCATCCCGAAACTGGCCAAAGCAGCTCGAGTCTCGGAAGAGAAAGCCAAAGCCTGGCTAAAAAAACAAGCCATCTGGCAAGTCTACCTGCCGGTGCGTATTCAATACATCCCGAGTAGAAAATTCGACATTTCAACACCGAATCGCGTTCATCAAGCCGAATTCCTGTTTCTCCCTCACAACAGGGTGAGGCGCAAAACCTACAAGTACGCCCTGACTGTCGTCGACGTCGCCAGTCGGTACAAGGAAGCCGAACCGTTGACGACCAAAGATTCTAATGAATTCGCCAAAGCCTTAGAACGCATATACAAACGCAGTCGCTTGACCTGGCCTGGATGTCATCAACAACAAAGTCACCAGACTCCTGGGCAAAAGACCCATCGAAGACATCAAAATGAAATCCGTCGAATCATCATTGGGACATCGTGATAAAACAGAGAAAACATTACCGGACTATGTCAGCATTAGGTACTTATACCAGATGGTCGAATACGAGGGAGACAGCAGAAAACGCACCACCGATCCGATATGGACCATGAAAACGTACAACATCGACCTGGTTGACATCAAAGACGGCGAATCGAACTTGTACTGCTTGAAAGATGGGCCGCCGAGAGCATTCGTCAGAGAGGAGTTGATGATCGTACCTCGCAACACAATCCCTTACACATCACCCAGCGTGTGATGATAGTTTCTCGTCATGATTTTTATCAGTCTTGCATGCCTATTTTCTGCTTAATGTAGCCAGCCAGCCACCCGTACACCGAGTCGAGAGAGTCACACACACACGCACAGCGACTCCTCCACCCACAGCGCTCGGAGGAGGAACCACCCCCGAGGCGACCCAAGCCTTTTCCCCCGACAGACCCCATGCTCACTTAAAAGTCAATATTTCAGAAACTATCGACCGATTTTCATCAAATTTTTCTTGCACCTCAGTAGTAGTATTCACAATGGTGGTACGGGATTAGGGGCTTATCCAAGGCTTAATTTGAAAAATTAAACCTTAGATAAGGACCTGGTCCTGTTCCATCATTGTGTATACTACTGTGGATCATGCTGACAGTGTTATTTGATCAAGACAATAGCCAATGACAACCTTACTGTCAAATTCACTATATAACGGTGTTGGCTTTTATCCCATCTGGCTTGGCTACATTCCAATTTCATATCTTGTATTGATAAATAACATCCAAATTCAACAAATTGTACTTTAAAAAACATTCATAAATAATTGATTTTACTAAACACAAATAATAAATTGAATTCATGATGGGACATGGTTCTTTTCACTAAATATGTGAGTGAACTGAAACCGCCATAGCTACACACATTGAGACGGTGCCCCACTAGACAGATACCAGTATCAAACCAAAGTGATGTGTGTATTGAGAAGGTGCCCAACTAGACAGATACCAGTATCAAAACAAAGTGATGTGTGTATTGAGCATGTGCCCCACTACACAGATACCTGTATCAAACCAAACTGATGTGTGTATTGAGCAGGTGACTCACTAGACAGATACCAGCATCAAACCAAAGTGATGTGTGTATTTAGCAGGTGCCTTACTACACAGATACCAGTATCAAACCAAAGTGATGTGTGTATTGAGCAGGTGCCCCCACTAGACAGATACCAGTATCAAACAAAAGTGATGTGTGTATTTAGCAGGTGCCCCACTACACAGATACCAGTATCAAACCAAAGTGATGTGTGTATTTAGCAGGTGCCCCACTAGACAGATACCAGTATCAAACAAAAGTGATGTGTGTATTTAGCAGGTGCCTTACTACACAGATACCAGTATCAAACCAAAGTGATGTGTGTATTGAGCAGGTGCCCCCACTAGACAGATACCAGTATATAACCATAGTGATGTGTGTATAGAGCCAGTGCCCCACTACACAGATGCCAGTATCAAACCAAAGTGATGTGTGTATTGAGCAGGTGCCCCAATACACAGATACCAGTATCAAACCAAAGTGATGTGTGTATTGAGCAGGTGCCCCACTAGACAGATACCTATATCAAACCAAAGTGATGTGTGCATTGAGAAGGTGCCCCACTAGACAGATGCCAGTATCAAACCAAAGTGATGTGTGTATTGAGCAGGTGCCCCAATACACAGATACCTGTATCAAACCAAAGTGATGTGTGTATTGAGCATTGCCCCACTAGACAGATGCCAGTATCAAACCAAAGTGATGGTTGTATTGAGCAGGTGCCCCACTAGACAGATACCAGTATCAAACCAAAGTGATGTGTGTATTGAGAAGGTGCCCCACTAGACAGATACTAGTATCAAACCAACGTGATGTGTATATTGAGCAGGTGCCCCACTAGACAGATACTAGTATCAAACCAACGTGATGTGTGTATTGAGCAGGTGCCCCACTAGACAGATACCAGTATCAAACCAAAGTGATGTGTGTATTGAGAAGGTGCCCCACTAGACAGATACTAGTATCAAACCAAAGTGGTGTGTATATTGAGCATTGCCTCACTAGACAGATACCACTATCAAATCAAAGTGATGGTTGTATTGAGCAGGTGCCCCACTAGACAGATACTAGTATCAAACCAAAGTGATGTGTGTATTGAGCAGGTGCCCCACTACACAGATACCGGTATCAAACCAAAGTGATGTTTGTATTGAGCAGGTACCTCACTAGACAGATACCAGTATCAAAACAAAGTGATGTGTGTATTGAGCAGGTGCCCCACTAGACAGATACCTGTATCAAACCAAAGTGATGTGTATATTGAGCATTGCCCCACTAGACAGATACCACTATCAAACCAAAGGGATGGTTGTATTGAGTAGGTGCCCCACTAGACAGATACCAGTATCAAATCAAAGTGGTGTGTGTATTGAGCAGGTGCCCTACTAGACAGATACTAGTATCAAACCAAAGTGATGTGTATATTAAGCATTGCCCCACTAGACAGATACCACTATCAAACCAAAGTGATGTGTGTATTGAGCAGGTACCCCACTAGACAGATACTAGTATCAAACCAACGTGATGTGTATATTGAGTAGGTGCCCCACTAGACAGATACCAGTATCAAACCAAAGTGATGTGTGTATTGAGCAGGTGCCCCACTAGACAGATACCAGTATCAAACCAAAGTGGTGTGTGTATTGAGCAGGTGCCCCACTAGACAGATACTAGTATCAAACCAAAGTGATGTGTATATTGAGCATTGCCCCACTAGACAGATACCACTATCAAACCAAAGTGATGTGTGTATTGAGCAGGTACCCCACTAGACAGATACCAGTATCAAACCAAAGTGATGTGTGTATTGAGCAAGTGCCCCACTACACAGATACCACTATCAAACCAAAGTGATGGTTGTATTGAGCAGGTGCCGCGCAAGACAGATACCTGTATCAAACCAAAGTGATGTGTGTATTGAGCAGGTGCCCCCACTAGACAGATACCAGTATCAAACCAAAGTGATGTGTGTATTGAGCAGGTGCCCCCACTAGACAGATACCAGTATATAACCATAGTGATGTGTGTATAGAGCCAGTGCCCCACTACACAGATACCAGTATCAAACCAAACTGATGTGTGTATTGAGCAGGTGCCCCACTACACAGATACCTGTATCAAACCAAAGTTATGCATGTATTGAGCAGGTGCCCCACTAAAGTGATGTATGTGCCCCACTACACAGATACATGAAAGACGTTTGAGCATGTTGAAGAGAGATTTGAGAAAATACAAACCCGCTTCAGTATCGCATATTCTCCAGCTTTATTTCCTCCTGGAACAAAGAACAAGTAACATTAAAAAAACATGTAGTGTTTTTTAACACATTCATATTGATTGAACTCTGACATGTAAATAAACTTAAGAATCAGGATACTGTTTTAAAAAGTAATCACAGCAGGAAGACTGTCAAAAATCTATGTTACAGAAATGTAATTTTTAAAGTAAAATTGATATTTTTATACTTATTCTGACTCATGATCTTTTGCTTATCTCCCTTTCCCTAACGAATGGTAGTGGAACACTTGAATCCCTTGAAGTTCCCGAAGCGGACGTAAAAATACAGTCACCCACGAGTTGCTTCCCTATTGCCCTGTCCGCGCGCAAACAGTCAGGTGACCAGCCTTACTTGTCACCCACTCCTGAATTTCTGCCCATGCACTTGGATCTGCTGTGAAATCCCATGTGTCTTCAACGGGGAGGTTGGGAGGGCTTCTCGTCATGAGTCAGGATAAGTATAAAAATATCAATTTTACTTAAAAAATTACATATTTTAACTTATCCTGACTCATGATCTTTTGCTTATAGAATCCGACAGATTGGTGGTGGGTCAAGCCACTTCATTCATCAGCTGTCCTTAGATACGTCCTGTATCCCCCCCCCCCTCCCCATGGGAACTGCGAAACGGCATTTCCATGATCCTATTCTTCCAACTTCCGTTATAACTATGGGGACCACTTTCTTGTCTTACTTCAGTCTCAGACAAGTTAATTCATGTGGCTACAGATAAACTAGTGTCTTCATATTACTAGATATCTCATAACAACCCATAAATTATGATAAGGTCTTTATCATAAATGAGTTGCGACCCCTTCACGTACGGGTAAGGTCTTTACCCGTACAGGATCTTTAATCACTCATGCTAGCCTGTGCTAGACTGTGCGCATGGACTTTCAAACTAGTACTTTTCTTTCAGTAAAAGTTATCAACAAGTCAATGTGATAAAGGGTGAGATTTTCCAACTCAGTGCCTTTAAGGAACCGTTAGTTGCTGTGCTACAACGAGAGGCCCAAATTGGTGAATGCCTGAGACGTCTTCAGTGGCTATGTCTCGGAGGTAGTGGTTGGCAAACACTGTGTCCGACTTCCAAAAGCAGCCCTCCATAATTGTTGGTATAGAGCAATTTCCATGCAGAGCCAATGTTGACGCAAGTGCTCTGACTTCGTGTGGGCTGAAAGCTCTAGGAGGTTCTAGACCTTCTGCTTTATATGCTCTCAATATGATGGCTCTCATTCTGAACGATATGGTCGTTCTTGAGACTTCTGCTGATGTCTCTGTTGATAATGGGATGAACAGGCGCTTGAATTTTTGTCTCCTTGTCTCAGTCTTTTGATGGTATATCTTAGGGATCTGACTGGACACAAGGATAAGTCCTCTATATCCTGTGGGCCGAGGATTGTAGAAAGCGCTGGTACATGGAACAGTCTATCTGGCTGACCAAGTAGTTGGTTCTTGGCAATGTAAGTCCCATCTTAGTCCTAGATGAACTGCAGCATGTTGCCCCCTGTCGAATCTGGTTTGACCAAAGTCCAGCGCATGTACCTCCGATATTCGAGCTGCTGTGGCTAGCGCAAGCAGGAACAGAGTCTTCTGTGTCAGCAGCTTGAGAGTAGTCTGGTCTAGTGGTTCATAGACATCACTCGTAAGATGACGTAGAAATACATTCAGATCCCAGGCTGGAGCTCTGAATTTCTTCTGCTGGTCCTCCAGCTTAAAAGATCTCAACAGAGCAAGTAATTCTGGTACTTTCGTCGACTTGATGCCTGTTTTCATGGCAATCACTGTAATGATGGCGGCGAGGTATGTAGAAAATGTCGAACCTTTCAGATGTCTGGTCTGTCTAAGATGACACAGATATTCCGCCACTTGAGGATGAGTAGCTATCATCGCAGTGAAGCCTTTCCGCCTTGCATAAGTCTCAAACTTCAGCCATTTGTCATCATAAAGGTTACGAGTCAATCTGCGTAACCCTAGCGTTACTGTCTTGGCTGCCCTGGCGGAGTATCCTCTATTCTTCAAACATGTTTTGATTCGGTCCACACGTGTAGCTGGAACAGTGTTGGGTTCCTGTGGACTTGTGTTGGTGTGCAGATATATGAGTAGGTTCGGCCAATCTGGTAACTTGATTGTTGGACTTCCAAGATCTTCTATTAGGTCTAGGAACCATACTCTCGCTGGCCAGTATGGCGCGATCAAGGTCAGTTGTAGCGCCTGTGTCTATTTTCGGTAGTTATACCAGTGGTGGAACCGCATAAGCGTTTAGTCCTTCCCATGATATGCTCAGTGCATCTGTTGCCCAGGCTTGAGGATCTGGAACTGGTGAGACAAATGTCTGTAGTTAATTGTTGAACCTCGTGGCAAACAGGTCTAAGCATGGGGATCCTATTTCCCTTATGATGAGCCAAAATGCTTCTGGATGGAGTATCCATTCTGTAGGTGACGGGTGCAGTGGTTGGGAGAGAGCATCTGCAAGCACGTTCTTGGCTCCAGGTATGTGACACGCCTTTATCCAGATGTTTCCATGATGTCAAACAACTGGAATGTGAGCTGTTGTAGGCTTGGTGATCTTGTAAATCCTTGTTGATTTATGGAGAATGCCACTGTCCGTGTGGACCATCCGCATTCTGTTGATCAGTGAGCTCGACCATAGTTGTAAGGCGCTGATCACAGCTTTCATTTCCAGCAGATTGATGTCCTAATGCTGCTCTGTTTGGACCACTTCCTTGATGCAACTTGATTGTTGAGATGTGGATCCAAATCTTGTATCGATGCGTCTACATAGAGAAGTGTGTTGAAGGCTGGCTCTTGTAAATAGGTCCCTCCGAAGACGTTGCACCTGAGGGTCCACCAAAGTAGGTACCTCTTAAGATTGTCTGGCAGCAAGATAGGGTCGATGCTGTCCAGATGTTTTTGTCAGGAACCGTTGCAGCAGCCTTAGTTGTACTCTTCCTGTGCGAGTTAAGTCCTGCGCCGAGGTTAGTAGACCGAGTTGACACTGCCATGTTTGTAGTGTTAACGGAGAGATGACTGCTTGTGGATCATGGCTTGTATCTTGACCCCATGATCTTCTGGGACCACAATTCGATTCTGTGTTGTGATAATGCTTATTCCCAGCAATTGAAGATCTTGTTTGATTCTAACTCCAACTTCATCAGGTTCACTAGCCAACCTCGTTGCGTGAGCAATGTAATTGTGAAGTTCAGCTGCTGTCCGAGTTGATTGGCACTTTGAAGAACCTGTATGCCGTCGTCCAGATAACATGCTCTGCGTAGACCTCGATTCTGCAGATAAGTGCTGATAGGCTTGGTTATTCGTATGAATAATCATAGAGCCGACGATATTCCAAACGGTAGGATGTTCCATTGGAAGTGGACTGCCTCCGGGGTGTGGTGGTTAGAGCGTCCGCCCGGAGAGCGGAAGGTCGCGGGTTCGATCCCCGACCGCATCATACCAAAAGATGTTAAAATATGGTACTTGTTGGTCCCTGCCAGGCGCTCTGCATTACTGGGTACAACAAGGACTGGTCGGCTCAGAGTCAGTATACTGTGTCTGAGTGGGGTATTCATGCTTCACTGCGGCATGGTATCTCAGTGGGCTAGCACTATAAAACCAGCTTAAGTCTGGGATAGTACAAGCAGCCGCACGTACACATACACACGCATGCATGTCGTCATATGAGGGAAATATTCTCAAGCACGACGTTAAACCCAATTTCACCTCACCTCACCTCCATTGGAAGTGCTAACGTCGGATTGCAGTGATGATACATCATTCTTCCCCTTATATACGCAGGCGATCTGTGTTGACATCGAAGCGTTGTCTATTTATAGCAAGGCTGGCTCCAAGGTAGCATCGCAGGGGACAGGTACTCATACGAACTTTTATCAACGACAACTTCCAAACTAAACTTCGTTTATCCTGCTGTCAAGGCTAGACATCTATTAGATTCCCATGATGATAACAGGCCGTAGTTGTATACTGTTTCCAAGGCAGCCGATGAAGTATTCCCCCCGTACCACGGGTTTCTTTACAAATCAGAAAACATGCTGTGGCCTGCTCTGTCAGTGGGAGGCGTTGTCTGACGTGGACCAATCAGCTTCAAACATGACATCACCGCTGTTGTAGCAAGTTGGCCTTCATAACATCTGATGCAATTAGTTGGTTGAGTAACAGCGTGCGTAATTCTACGTCTCTCATATGAATCTCTTGACTAAGGGTTGCTCCAAGTGTAAATTCTTGTTCAGTGATATAAATCACGTATTCACATTGTGGATATAAGCCCACATGACGAAAGAGGCTGTCGATTCGTATGTCTGTATGGATCTTGAAGAAATACCGAAGTTGAATCTAGTTGATAGGATATAAAATCCTAATCCCCACGCTGAGTGACGAGTGTTAATAATATCATGTGTACGTCCGTTCAAGGATACTTGAGGTGTTGTTAACCTTGAACCCTTTACAAAGGTCGCCTTGAGGTTCTCCAGTACTTGAGATATCGGTTTCATAGGTGATATCATATTGGAGTCAACGTCATCAGCGTATATGCAGTACGTCTCTGTTTGGTTGGAGTGCATGAGTGAACGACAATGTCCGCAGGCCATCTGCTACCCGGTATAAGACCTCAGCATCCGTATAGATGAAGTGATTCCTTTCATCATGTAGGTTGTTGTCCCGAAACTGAACCTATACAGTATAAGGTTTGTGCAGGTTGTAGAGTTATGCAAGCTGTAAACTGTAGAGATCGCATATGATATAGATCTTTTTGTTGAGTTTTAAACTCTGACAAAACCATCCATTTTCATCATTGTTTCGTTTTTTTCAGCCGTATGGTAATAGAGTCAACATCCTGCCTGCTGTTGAAAGGGTTTGTTAACCCTAGGGTTCGCGAACCCTGTAGATGTCTGCGTTGCTGTTATCTGCCTGTAGATCTGAGAGTTCTCAAATATCTGTAGCTTTCTCAAAGCTGTGCGTAGGTTAGAAGGTAGCTTGGATATAGGTTCAATCGGAGGAACAGTCAACGAGTCAAAGTCGTCATTACGCATCTTATAAGTGTACACTTCATCTATATCCTTATAAGGAGACTCCAAGTTCAAACTATTGGCTATCCAAGCTGTAACCTTTGAGTCCGGGAAGACGAAGTCTGGTTATTCATCAGTTATCTCCTGATCGGTAGAGCTATGCCTCCGCGAATCATCCTTCTGCAAACCCGTATCCCTTCTCGAACCTCCATCATCCTTTCGCGAACTGAAGAATTCTCCCTTCGTGAACATCTGTCTTGAGAGTCCTCTCTTCACGAACCTCTATCTGTAGATTCATCTCTTCGCGAACCTCTGTGATGTGAGCTTTCTCTTCGCGAACGTCTGTCGCTAGATGTATCCCTTCGCGAATGTCTGTGATGTGAGCCTTCTCTTCACGAACCTCTGTCTCGTGATGAGTGACTTTCGCGAATGTCTGTAATAGATATGAGATCTTGATCTAGAACTGCTATGTGTAGGAGATGAATCATTCGATGTTCCCGAACGCTGAGGGTTCGCAGATGTAGAACGGTGAGTAGGCGTCTCATGTCTTCTATCCTCCAAAATGACAGAGTCGTCCGACTGTGGAGACCTTCGCAAAGGTGTTGTACGTTCGCCAACGTAGTCTTAGACGTAGTTCTATGAGGAGTAGGTTCGCGCAGGCCCGTAGGTTTGCACAGGTCCGTAGGTTTGCACACGGTATCGGTAGATGAGAGGCTTTTCCTAGCCATCGCTTCTTCTACTGGAACATACGTTCCATCATGGCCATCATCTGGTCGGTGAATTGTATCATAAATTCGCCCAGGTCAAAGTCTGCATAGGTTGAAGCTGCTATGGTAGACGAAGCGTTCGCGAACGCTGATGAGTTCTGTGCTTCAACTTCACTCCGTTGAGAAGTAGGTGGTAGTTCGTCAACAGCTGTCCTGCTGTGACCGTTGTAGGGGACGATCTAGTAGTTGTAGAGGTCGACTGAGTCGCTGATCTCATAGATACTTCGGGTAGAAGTAATGGGGGGTCATCAAAGATGTCTTTTTCGTGTGGAGGTAATATCTCTTCGTTGAAGGATTTCTGTTGCATTGATGTACTAGATGCTTTCTTCTGCATTGTAGAAGAAGATGACGTCCTTTTCTTAGCCTGAGACGGAGTCAACTGCGTTGTAGATGATCTCTTCTTGGCCCCCTTACCAGCAGACTACCTCTGTAACGCACTAAACATAGCACCAGTATTATGAATTTCAGCAGTAGCAAGCAACATACGGTTTGCAGGCTGATCTCCAGTTTTATCAACCGTGACTTGAGATGACTTTCTCACCGATCCATGGCACATCTATAGATATAAGACAAATATTGATTAATTGAAGATTTGATAAATCAACACAATAAGTACAGCACAAGCTGGAAGAACATGGTTTTATGCACGAAGGGCACTGGGGCTGAGGATCAGCCATGGATAACCTGTGCCTGCAAACACTGCAAGATTTCATGAAATGTAAACAAGGTTACATGACGATGAAAACACAACTCAAATGTAAATAATTTCTACAATTTTTTTTACAAATACTACTTAGTAGTTATAGCCAAATTCATATACAGCATAAATTTTAAGAATAGGACCTAAATAAAAAGGATATAATGCCATATACGGGACTCCAGTGCTCGCCCAAGCGGATGGTTGGGCGAAGGGAGAGAGTGACAAGTAAGGCAGGTCACCTGACTGTTTATGCGGGGGAAAGGGCAAAAGGGAGGCAACTCCTGGGTGAGTGTATTTTTACATCCGCTTCAGGAACTTCAAGGGATTCAAGTGTTCCACTACCATTCGCAAGGGAAAGGGAGATAAGCAAAAGATCATGAGTCAGGATAAGTAAAAATTAGAAATATCAATAGTCGAAAAATTATGTAAGCTTTGTGCAACAGGACCCAGATTGTCTTCAATGGGATTAACAAGTGATAAGGCCCAGTTATAGTCCCCTGTTACAGACAGAGGCAGCGAACCTAATCACCTCATATCTAGTACAAGCTATACAAATGTTGAGGTCCTACCATAGTCCCCTCTTACAGGAACCTAATCTCCTCATGTCTAGTACAAGATATCAAAGAGTTAAGACACAACCACAGCCCCCCTCTTACAGACAGGGTGCCAGGCACCTAATCTCATGTCTAGTATAAGCTATACCGACAGGGTGCCCAGAACCCTAATCTCCTCATGTCCAGTACAAGCTATACAAGAGTTAAGACACAACCACAGCCCCTCTTACCCGACAGGGTGCCCGGAACCTAATCTCCTCATGTCCAGTACAAGCTATACAAGAGTTAAGGACACAACCACAGCCCCCCTCTTACCGACAGGGTGCCCAGAACCTAATCTCCTCATGTCCAGTACAAGCTGTACTAGAGTTAAGACACAACCACAGCCCCCCCTCTTACCCGACAGGGTGCCGGAACCTAATCTCCTCATGTCCAGTACAAGCTATACTAGAGTTAAGACACAGCCCCCTCTTACCGACAGGGTGCCCAGAACCTAATCTCCTCATGTCCAGTACAAGCTATACAAGAGTTAAGACACAACCACAGCCCCCTCTTACCGACAGGGTGCCCAGAACCTAATCTCCTCATGTCCAGTACAAGCTATACTAGAGTTAAGACAACCACAGCCCCCTCTTACCGACAGGGTGCCCAGAACCTCATCTCCTCATGTCCAGTACAAGCTATACAAGAGTTAAGACACAACCACAGCCCCCTCTTATAGACAGGGTGCCCAGAACCTAATCTCCTCATGTCCAGTACAAGCTGTACTAGAGTTAAGACACAACCACAGCCCTCCCCCCTCTTACAGACAGGGTGCCGGAACCTAATCTCCTCATGTCCAGTACAAACTATACTAGAGTTAAGACATTAGCCACAGCCCCCTCTTACAGACAGGGTGCCCAGAACCTAATCTCCTCATGTCCAGTACAAGCTATACTAGAGTTAAGACACAGCCCCCTCTTACCGACAGGGTGCCCAGAACCCTAATCTCCTCATGTCCAGTACAAGCTATACTAGAGTTAAGACCCAACCACAGCCCCCTCTTATAGTCAGGGTGCCCGGAACCTAATCTCCTCATGTGCAGTACAAGCTCTATTATCATGATTATACCCATGGGGTGCAGGGCATCTCCTGACATGGCCTACTCACACTACATACGAGATGAGGTCGTATACAATTGTCCTCTTAAAAGCTAGAGCTTCCCTCAAACATGTCTAACAAATCAATGTCTTCATGAAATCCTACCTCTTTTATGATCATGATCCCTTAGCTGAAATCAAGAAAAATAAGAAATATGTATTTGAAGAAGCATTTAACATCAAACATAAACAATTTTGCAAAATAGCCCCACAAGTTTACTATTATTTTGGCAACCCTTGTTGGCACTCGCAAGAAACCTTGTCTCATAAATGGCCTATAGAAAACATTCAATATTCAATATACCAGTTCATCTCTTCCTACTAATGAAACTTCATGTGATAAATGAAAGATGGATGTCAAGTGATCACCACCTCCACCTCCACTGAAAGCTGAAATTCACTTTTGAATCTCCCTAATTTCAAGGTTAGTTTGCTTGTCTATTTCTTGTTTAACCAGTACTCAGCAATATTACAGCTGTATGGCATTTCGTGTATTCAGTCAAATCTGGACTAGACAATCCAGTGATTGATACTGTGAGCAACAGTTGGGGTACCAGAACACACTGTCAAGTAAGTCACTGAGTTTGACCACCAAATTCATTTGGTGACCAACATTCCATTTGTCTCTTCTTAACACCTGCATCCAATTTCTCGCCTCTTAAGATCAGCATCCCATTAGTCACCTCTTAAGGCCTGCATCCCATAAGTCACCTCTTAAGGCCTGCATCCCATTAGTCACCTCTCAAGGCCTGCATCCCATTAGTCACTTTTTAAGATCAGCATCAATTACTTGCCTCTTGAGGCCTGCATCCCATTTCTCACCTCTTAAGACCACCATCCTATTAGCCATCTCTTAGAATGCTTGAGACCAGTTCTAACCCAGCAGCATCCGTAAGACATCCCAGATATAACGCTTCAAAATGTCATGTCTGATGTTAACCAATGTTTCCGGTTCTGCTGCAACACCCCACTTTGAGACGTATATGACAGATATGATGGATACTGGGTAACAAATACGAATGTCGGGTAACAATTACAACCAGCAGCTGAAGTACTATTCAGTATATTCAGTGAAACAATAACCATATAGTAACATAATAAAATATTTGACATTTGTGGATCAACCTCCTCTGCTGTAATCACTTATCAAACATCCAATGTACATCAACCTTGTTAATTGTATATACTCACTATGCAGCTATGTATATATTCTCCTTGCTTTAAATTGTTGTATCACTTGCTTGATAACGGTGTTAGTACCTACACCGAAACGTCGCACTCATTGCAATAAAGAAGTTGACTATCCATAGAAATCAGTTTTCCTTCATCTTTACAACTTCTAAAATGCCTCTCAAAGAAACAACTCTACTTACTTCCTAGTGAACTGTTCCATTATGCCCGTAGGTGTTACCCTAATTAACCTTCTAGTACAGTGTCTGTCAATCGACTGTCTGTCAAATGGGTGTCTGTCAATTGGGAGATAACCTAATGACAACATTACTGTCAATTTAAATATGTAAGTGTTGGCTTTTATCCTATCTGGCTTGGATATACTTCATTTTGCATATCTTGTTTTGATAAATAACATCCATATTCAACAAATGACAATACTTTAAAAAAAATGAATGAATATTTGATTTTACTAAACACAAATAATAAATTGAGTTCATGGTGGGACATGGTTCATAGTTCGAGCTGAATACATGAATGAAGTGTAACAACCCTAGTAACAGACACTGTACACAGACAATAATGAGATCCCCCTCCCTAAAAGGCCCTCCCTATTACAAATATGCAGCATGCTAAGTGCCCCTCCCCCAATTCTAAACAGGTTGCCCAATTTAGTCGCATTTTACGACAAGCAATGGGGTGCTGGGGACACATTCTATCAAGGAACAGGGAAGTCAGTCGTGTTTGAGCTGCATGGATATACCTGGTAACTTCTTTGATTGGCATTTTAGAAGCTGGAAAGTACAAAACAGACAAGCTTCATGGATAATAACTTGTTTATTACGGACATCCCTAGTACAGACTAACACTGGTTTATATTCTTCTGAGGAATCTGCATTTTAACATGGATGCTCCACTCAGACACAACATACTCACTCTGATAAATAAAGAAATTGCTGTCCATAAAGCTTGTCAATTTTGCAATACCCGTTGATTGACCGTCTTGTGTGATTTAAAACCTCTTCCTATTAAGTGCCCAAACTGTGCTGGGGTATCCTAATACTCGCCCCTTTTGGATTTTATTTAGCTAAGAGCCTGGGGTGCTAAACACATCCAACAAGAAAATATCAAACAAAGGAACTCACAGCCTTGCAGTGAGTTGCCACAGATACGTTAATCACACTTTGTCCGTAATTGTGGGGCGTCTTCAGACATTTTATGGCATCTGCATAATTGGTGTAGGAAACTAAGACGTGTCTGGTCCTGAAAGAGAACAGAATGTGAGAAGGGGTTTACATTGAAGATAACTGCAGTCATATTGTGATATTAATGTCAATACAAGTAAGAAACACTGGTTTTACAGTGCTAGCTCTCTGAGGAATCTGCAGTTCAACATGGATACTCCACTCAGACACACAATACTCACTCTGTCCTTGGTGCTTAATGCTGGGGATCAATAAGTACCATTGGGGGTATCAACAAGTACCCAGCAGGGTATCAACAAGTACCATTCAGGGTATCAACAAGTACCAGTCAGGGTATCAACAAGTACCAGACAGGGTATCAACAAGTACCAGTCAGGGTATCAACAAGTACCAGTCAGGGTATCAACAAGTACCAGTCAGGGTATCAACAAGTACCAGTCAGGGTATCAACAAGTACCAGGCAGGGTATCAACAAGTACCAGACAGGGTAACAACAAGTACCAGTCAGGGTATCAACAAGTACCAGTCATGGTATCAACAAGTACCAGTCAGGGTATCAACAAGTACCAGACAGGGTATCAACAAGTACCAGTCAGGGTATCAACAATTACCATGCAGGGTAACAACAAGTATCAAACAATTACCAGACAGGGTATCAACAAGTACCAGACAGGGTATCAACAAGGTGCCAGACAGGGTAACAACAAGGTACCAGACAGGGTAACAACAAGGTACCAGAAATGATAACAAGTACCAGTCAGGGTATCAACAAGTACCAGGCAGGGTATCAACAAGTACCAGACAGGGTAACAACAAGTACCAGTCAGGGTATCAACAAGTACCATGCAGGGTAACAACAAGTACCATGCAGGGTATCAACAAGTACCAGGCAGGGTATCAACAAGTACCAGGCAGGGTATCAACAAGTACCAGACAGGATATCAACAAGTACCAGTCAGGGTAACAACAAGTACCAGTCAGGGTAACAACAAGTACCAGACAGGGTAACAACAAGTACCAGACAGGGTATCAACAAGTACCAGGCAGGGAAACAACAAGTACCAGTCAGGGTATTAACAAGTAACAGGCTGGGTATCAACAAGTACCCAACAGGGTAACAACAAGTACCATTCAGGGTATCAACAAGTACCAGACAGGGTATCAACAAGTACCAGACAGGGGTATCAACAAGTACCAGTCAGGGTAACAACAAGTACCAGTCAGGGTAACAACAAGTACCAGTCAGGGTATCAACAAGTACCAGGCTGGGTATCAACAAATTACCAGACAGGGTATCAACAAGTACCAGACAGGGTAACAACAAGGTGCCAGACAGGGTAACAACAAGGTACCAGACAGGGTAACAACAAGGTACCAGACAGGGTAACAACAAGGTACCAGAAATGATAACAAGTACCAGTCAGGGGTATCAACAAGTACCAGACAGGGTATCAACAAGTACCAGTCAGGGTACCAACAAGTACCAGACAGGGGGTATCAACAAGTACCAGACAGGATATCAACAAGTACCAGTCAGGGTAACAACAAGTACCAGTCAGGGGTACAACAACAAGTACCAGACAGGTATCAACAAGTACCAGGCAGGGAAACAACAAGTACCAGTCAGGGTATTAACAAGTACCAGGCTGGGTATCAACAAGTACCATGCAGGGGTAACAACAAGTACCAGTCAGGGTATCAACAAGTACCAATCATGGTAACAACAAGTACCAGTCAGGGTATCAACAAGTACCAGACAGGGTAACAACAAGTACCAGGCAGGGTATCAACAAGTACCAGACAGGGTATCAACAAGTACCAGTCAGGGTATCAACAAGTACCAGACAGGGTATCAACAAGTACCAGACAGGATATCAACAAGTACCAGTCAGGGTAACAACAAGTACCAGTCAGGGTAACAACAAGTACCAGACAGAGTATCAACAAGTACCAAGAAGGGTATCAACAAGTACCAGACAGGGTATCAACAAGTACCAGTCAGGGTATCAACAAGTACCAGGCAGGGTATCAACAAGTACCAGTCAGGGTATCAACAAGTACCAGTCAGGGTAACAACAAGTACCAGTCAGGGTATCAACAAGTACCAGACAGGGTAACAACAAGTACCAGTCAGGGTATCAACAAGTACCAGGCTGGGTATCAACAAGTACCAGACAGGGTATCAACAAGTACCAGACAGGGTAACAACAAGGTGCCAGACAGGGTAACAACAAGGTACCAGACAGGGTAACAACAAGGTACCAGAAATGATAACAAGTACCAGTCAGGGTATCAACAAGTACCAGGCAGGGTATCAACAAGTACCAGTCAGGGTATCAACAAGTACCAGGCAGGGTATCAACCATTACCAGACAGGGTATCAACAAGTACCAGACAGGGTATCAACAAGGTGCCAGACAGGGTAACAACAAGGTACCAGACAGGGTAACAACAAGGTACCAGAAATGATAACAAGTACCAGTCAGGGTATCAACAAGTACCAGGCAGGGTATCAACAAGTACCAGTCAGGGTATCAACAAGTACCAGACAGGGTATCAACAAGTACCAGACAGGGTAACAACAAGTACCAGTCAGGGTAACAACAAGTACCAGACAGGGTATCAACAAGTACCAGGCAGGGAAACAACAAGTACCAGTCATGGTATTAACAAGTACCAGGCTGGGTATCAACAAGTACCAGACAGGATATCAACAAGTACCAGTCAGGGGTAAGCAAGTACCAGTCAGGGTAACAACAAGTACCAGACAGGGTAACAACAATCTGCGAGGCAGGGTAACAACAAGTACCAGGCAGGGAAACAACAAGTACCAGACAGGGTATCAACAAGTACCAGGCAGGGAAACAACAAGTACCAGTCATGGTATTAACAAGTACCAGGCTGGGTATCAACAAGTACCAGACAGGATATCAACAAGTACCAGTCAGGGTAACAACACGTACCAGTCAGGGTAACAACAAGTACCAGACAGGGTATCAACAAGTACCAGACAGGGTAACCACAAGTACCAGGCAGGGTATCAACAAGTACCATCTTTTAACATAGGACTAATGACCTTACACGATAAAAAAACCTCATTGTGTACTTGCCGGGCTTTCAACCATGAGGGCCATGCAATTTTTCATTAATTTAGTCAGAAGGGTGCTCAAAGTACCTGATTTAGACTACCAGTTGACAAACTACAAGCTGATAGACTTTCATATTTGTGGCAGCTCCAGTGGCTGAGTGGGTTAGATCACTGACTATAACTGTAAGGCAGTAATTCAACATGGTTACTAAGAAACATCGCTACAAGCAACAGGTTCCCAGCAGAATGATTAACACTGCTCTGAGCATACATGTGTGTGGAATTTAAAGCTACATAAGTAACCTTATTATTATGTTTTACAGATTAAAAATAGTATGCAGCAAAGAGGGTTAGGATGATCCTGGCACAGTCAGACTGGTAAGGCTCATCATCAGCTCAGGGCCCTTGCCCCAGGAAGCGCGCTGCCTGGTACAACCCACCAAGAACTTTTCAGAGAATATGAAGGGTCCCCAACACTGCAGCCTTCTGCATTACCCAGAGTGTCATAAAGGCTGTACTCCTGGTGGAGAACCGGGCAATCTCCTGATCTGCACCTAGAGATCAGGAGGTACCAAACCAAAGGCACCAAGAACAATGGGGAGCCTCACGGCAATGTACTTGGAATGCAAGCGAGACATATTTAGCATGCTTTTCCCAAATCTTGCCAATCACGTTGCTGTCAAAAGGGACAGAAAATTCAATGATATAAATAAATTCATTGGCTTTATCAAAAGGACAAGATCAGGTTTGTTAGCTGGAATTCTCCTGAGGCTGTGTAAGGGCCTATTCCAAAGAAGTTTAAAGTTGGACAGGTTCGAGTCGGTCATGGACCTCGGATTCAAAGCCATAGACATGGTGAAGGCGGTAGTAAAAGCAACGAGCCATGCCATCATGTCGATATGCTGTTTTGCCAAGGAAGGGCATCCACTGACGAGGTGTTGGGCATCCACTGACGAGGTGTTGGACAGTCTCTGTAAATTCATTACACATTTGTCATTTCATTTTAACATTTAGGCAATTGCGAGTGAGAAGTGACTGGTCCTGGGCAGCAAAAGAAAGCCCTGTGTTTCACTTTTAAGACCATCTGACTTCATCCAGGCGAAGGAGTTGGTTGGATTACTATTCTGTACACTGCGATGCAATGTCTTCTCAGAAAGCTTCTCCAGAAATGACTGACTCTGGGCAGACTTGGTGAATGACTTCACCTGGTTTACTACCATTGCTGTACCATCCAGCAGTACATCACCATCAACAAAATCAACCTCAAATTTCAGATTCTGTCCAACAACCTTGGCATGCTTAAAATAGCCGTGGAATTCCTTGTTTTCATCATGAGTCTTGACATGCATCACCAGCGGATCATCGAGAAGTAATCATATGCAAAAAGTGCTCAATACCAATTCTATCATGAAGAGCCTCCACATTAATCAAATCCGACCTCCAGAATTGATTGGCATATATGAATGACTGAGAGAGTAAGGAGGTGGTGAGCTCTGTTATTGGGCATGATCCTTCTGGTCAGAAAGTCAAAACTCTTGGATATCGTTTATGTCCAATCAACTATTTTAAAGGAATAGGAAAGGACTTTAACAGCAAAAGTATTGGTGGCTTTGACCCGTGTTTCCAGCATTTAGCTCTGAGCTCCAGATTTTCTTTAAAGTTGTCTCGGCACAAAGTTGTCTTGAATCTGGACATTCTGGAGCTTGTCTTGAACTTGCATTCCAAGATAGGTGTAGGCCTGATCTTCCACAAGATGCTCATTAAATCTTCCCCTATTGTTATTATTATTATTATCATCATTCTCATCATCATACTGTCAGTGCAATACCAAATTGCTTACAATATTTTATGCATGGAAATAATTTGTGAACAAGAAGACAAAGTCATCAATATTCCCCCTTAATGACAAAATACTCTTCATGAATATGTCTACGAGTTATGATTATGTCAAACATTTTGGTGTGTATATAGAAAAGTGGAAGGAGAGTATTGAAAGGTTTTAAAAGTATGTGCCAAGTTTGGTGAAGAAATAGTGAACGGTTTTAGAGTTCTGCTACTTAAAAGGGCACAACCAATAATTTCAGTCTAAGTCAAACATGTTGCCATGGAAACGCCAAAAATATTTCATTCAGAATTCCAAAACTACCAAAAGGCACCAGTACACCACCAGATCTATCTATGTGCCAAGTCTGGTGAAGAAACATTGAACGGTTTTAGAGTTCTGCTCGGAAAAGGGCACTACCACCAATTTCAGTCTAACTCAGATTTGTTGCCATGGAAACTCCAAAATATTTAATTCAGAACACCAAAACTACCAAAAGGCACCAGTACACCACCAGATGTATGTATGTGCCAAGTTTGGTGAAGAAATATTGAACAGTTTTAAAGTTCTGCCCTGGAAAAGACAAATGTGCGGAGGCACGCACGCATGCACGGATGGAGTCCAAAATATGCGTTAGCGGGGGTAAATAGGCCAAAAATGGGAGAAACTAGAGTAAGTTGAAATAAATACAAAACTACTCAAGGAGTAATTTTTCGGTCAAAACCTAGGAGTTGGCCTCCATGCAACAAAGTCAGCAAGTCTGATCTCTGGAACCTGTAAGTGTCCTTTTACAAGAAAGATGGGTTCCTTGATATCTTTTCTTATCTTGCTCTCAGTGTGTATGAAAATAACCAAGTATGATGAGCCATCTTACCACTTAGCTTTTCCTGTTACATCACAGAAGGAAATGTTTCCCCACTGGGAGAAGTACTCGCACAGGTCCTCCTCAGACACATCAAGAGGTATGTCAGTCACAAACAACTTGTGCGTCTCTAAGGACTACAACAGAGAAAAATTGTCCATTGATGGTTTACAATTGCTGTCAGTGAGTTAAAATGTATTATCACATCTGTATTGCCTCAGCCGTATAGTGACGAACAGATTTTGTTATTTTTTCAGATTAAAACTATCAGGGCTTGTTCACTCACTGTTCAATGCCACACTCAGCAGTATTCCAGCTACACAAAAGCAGTTTGTAAATTAGTGAGTCTGGACCAAACAATCTAGTGACTGATATCATGAACACTGACCTCAACAATTAGGAAACAATGACATGCTAGTCACATATTCTGACCATCCATTCAAGTTGTCACCTCTTATTACAACACACTGTGTTAACTTTTTCTAGGTTGTATAATACATTCCAACTTTCACTTCCCCTAAGATCTTTGTTTTGTGCTACAGACAGATCAGGTTTTAATGAGACTGGACAGTGTTTCAGTCATAACATAGCATCTAAGCTAGACACTGGCAGAAAGCTGAAGTTGTCAGTGAAATGACCACTTTGCTGAAACATGATCATGGCTGTGGTACTGACAAAGCAAACCTGACACCAATCAGATATTCCAAACACCTGACCCGCAGGCCCTTTCACTGTTTAGGAGGTAAATCTTAATGTTGAGGATAGTATTAGTCTTCCATGTACAAGAACGAATAAATACAATCTTTGTTTCAGAAAAAAATAGACTGACTGACTGACTGAGTTAGGTTTTACGCCGCTTTTAGCAATATTCCAGCAACATCACGACGGGGGACACCTGAAATGGGCTTCACATATTGTACCCATGTGGGGATTAGAAAAAAAAAGAAAAAAAAGAAATACATACCTTTTTAACATCTACATTTGTTTTTGGATCTGAAACACAGAAATTTATTGTCAAGTAGTATTTGAACACACAAGGACTGCACATTTCAAAGAAACCATGCCCCCCATATTATTTCGCTCATGAAATCGTTTTCAATTACATTTCCTGAAACTAAATTACATTTGCTTCAATTAAATTGCAAAACTGAGTGAACTGAGAAATATGCAACCGTTTATTAGTTCCGCTCTTGAAACAGAAAATGGATGGGGTTGAGTTGAGGTGAAATTGGGTTTAACGTCATGCTTGAGAATATTTCGCTCATATGACGACGTGGATGTGTGTGGATGTGTGGCTGTTTGTACTAGCCCAGACTGGTTTTATAGTGCTAGCCCACTGAGATACCATGCCGCAGTGAAGCATGAATATCCCACTCAGACACATTATACTGACTCCGAGCCGACCAGTCCTTGTTGTACCCATTAATGCCGAGCGCCAGGCAGGGACCAACAAGTACCATATTTTAACGTCTTTTGGCATGATGCGGCCGGGGATCGAATCCGCGACCTTCCGCTCTCTGTGCGGACGCTCTAACCACTACACCACGGAGAAAGGTATGGTAGTATATAGTGAGGTGTATGGAAATAAGCATCCATCTGTCCATGCATCCATTCCTTTTTGAACAAAGAAGATAAAAATAGTTTCTTTTGTTAAAGCATTGCTCTTTCATTCCATATATGTGAGTAATAAGTATTGTTTCAATAAACTCACACCAACCTGTAGAGGTTGATGATTCTTTGAAGAGAGTCCTCCTTGGGGTACATATCAGCATTTTTATATCCATTAATTCCTATGACTGTTGATAATTTGAATAAAATATTTACAAAACAAAAAGACTTGTTTATTACCTTGTTCGACCAACCCTGCAGAGCCTCACCTGGTTTACGGCTACTAATCACTTTCTATGCTGATCATGAGGTGGGTGGCCCTAACCCAGGAACAACTTTCTTCAAAGATTCAACAACCTCTACAGGTTGATGTGATTCTTTCTCAGCCCTTCTTAGTCTGCAGTGGAGCCAGACTCCCTCCCCGGCATGGAAGGATGCAAAACGGCAAGAACCGAGGGATGTGAGCAAGAAGTGGATGGTTGTTCCAGCAAGGGTTTGGAATCCTTGAAGGTGCAAACAACCTCTGCGGCCTCTTGGGCCACTCTCAGGACTCCAGGAAAGAGGGTAGAACCCATAATGTAGGGCAACAAAAGTAGTGCCTGTTGTGTGACTACTGAGTACCAAGATACTGACAACCAAAGACGACTTGGCCCATAACCACACTCATCATCTGGCTGGCTATCCCCAGCCAAATGAGAGTGGACAGCCATCAGCTGCCGCACCAGAGTCGGTGACATCCGTGTGTGGGATGCCTTGCTGGGAGCAAAAGCTTGCCTCGGCAGGCGGAACACCTCATGAACAGTAACCTCAAGCAAAACGACAGCGTTCCTATCGTGCACTTGCCTCAGAGATAAACTGAATGACAATGCCCCAATCATTGGATTCCTCCTCCTCACCGGCCTCATTAACCGAGCTCTCTTTGTGAAAAGTGGTCTCCCCCAGTCCGCTATGGAGGAGTTCACTGAAAGGTTCAAAGGGTTGAGAAAAGACCAAGACACTTGGATCGATATCTCCACGGTTCAAGCTTGAACCCTGGTCCCGAGACATATGGGCAATAGCCTGATAAATCAGGATTCCCCTGGCACTCGGGTAGACCTTGGAGCATCGTTTAGCCCCAGCTCACTCAACGGCTCCATGTGAATCTTGTGGGGGTAGGTTGGTCTGGCAAGTGGTGCAGTGTTAATAAGACTGCAAAAAGTCAACGAAACCTGGTATTTTGTGCATACTTGTATGTAATGCATGTATGTATAACATAACACAAACATAACGTAAATCAGAATAAATCATATAATTGTAATGCGAAGCAAAACATAAAAGCAACCACAGCAACATGACTGAACATGTAAACATGTAGAAGAATGTAGTGTGCCGCTCGCAGCATCAGCCATCTTGACAAACATATAGTTTGAAGTGGAGAATTTGGCAAAGAGAATATAAAACGCAATGCAACAAAAAAATAGTGGAAACGATTGAGTGAAACAAGCCCCAAACCCAAAAAAATTACCAGCCCAGAATGAATTTAACCAGACCAGACACCAAGGTATGGTGAATTTACTACTCAGCTGTATGAAACATCTACAATTTTTACCAGACAATCGGTCTGGCTAGCTGTAAATTTAGACCTTCCATCAGAAACCTAGCCCGTCTCGGATGGTCGGATGGGCCTTATTTCATACACTGGTGATATTCAACTGGCTGTATATCACTAGGCGAACGTAGAGAAGAAAATCACATGTCACGTGACATTGTAAATATGAAAAAAAGCACAAGCTAGAAGCCATGACGTGTCACAAATAATATGCAACAAGAAGACATGGTCATCAATATTTCCTGCCACAGTATTCGGTTCCTATTTGGTTCCTGTTTCTTAACTTCACCACAACATTCATGTCCTGAAAACCACCTCATTTGGTTTCACTATCTAAAACGGTTTCTGAGAAAATCTGTCCCCGTTTGGGGTACCATGCACTAGGTCAAGAAATGCATGACAAGGGCCATAACTCTGTAAAACAAATTGTAACATGGTTTTCATTTTCAAATTCCAACAAGGCATTTATGTCCTGAAAATACATATCAAATTTGGTTTCCCTATCTATAACGGTTTCTAAGAAAATCTGTCCCCATTGCTGATTTCATGCACTATGGGAGGAAACGCATGACAAGGGCCATAACTCTGTAAAACAAATTGTAACATGGTTTTCATTTTCAAATTCCAACAAGGCATTTATGTCCTGAAAATACATATCAAATTTGGTTTCCCTATCTATAACGGTTTCTAAGAAAATCTGTCCCCATTGATGATTTCATGCACTATGGGCGGAAACGCATGACAAGGGCCATAACTCTGTAAAACAAATTGTAACATGGTTTTCATTTTCAAATTCCAGCAAGGCATTTATGTCCTGAAAATACATATCAAATTTGGTTTCCCTATCTATAATGGATTCTGAGAAAATCTGTCCCCATTGGATATATCGGCACAAATTCAAAACACACATGATGATGGCCATAACTCTGTAACAAATTGCAACGAGTTTTGTAAATTGTAACAGGTTTTTCTGTTTTGAAACTCTGTCAAGGCATTCATGTCCTGAAAACACATACCAAATTTGGTTTCCCTACCTATAATGGTTTTTGAGGAAAAAAATCATCTCAGTCAGACAGATGGAGTGACGTAGCTCAAACCAATATTCCCCTCCCACTTCCTGGTGGGGATAATAAATGTAATGCGAATAAAAATATAAAAATAATACACACGACTACAATCCCAAATCGAAAGCAACCTTTCAATCTACAAAACATTGCAATAGAAGAATAGGGAATGTTGGCCCGCCATCTTAGAAACACGTGGTTTGGAGTGGACAGGGGACACAAAAGTTACAACATTAATGAATGGAATGTTTTCGAAATGCATTCAATATATCACCCATGAGATTAAAAACCTTACATTCAGTATTTGTTCTTTCTCACTCATCCTGATACGAATTCACTTTAAAAGTTACAAGGAACAGCACACACATCTTCACTTGGTGAATGACAGCATGGAAGGTAATTAGTGAGGTTAAAGTGACCTTCTCTTGGCTATAGATCAAGTGAGGCTCTGTAGGGGAGGTTGAACAAGGCAAAAACAAGTTTTTGGCTTTGTAAATAATTTAATCAAAATATTGTTACGACTGTCGTAGGAATTTTTAATGGACATAAAGATGATAATAAGTACCCAAAGGAGGACCTCTTCTGAAAAAGAATTGAAATATTCACATTCATTCCATTTTTAGTTTTACGCCCTGGGCTTAATTTGGGATATAATGTCACTCAATTCAAAAATGAAAAACACATAATTAATAGAAAGCAGGAATATGAAGACCACAACCCACAGGCAATAATACACCAGGCAAGCTAGATAAGGTCTCATGTACTCCATATTTCTTCCATAGACTTTTTAGACAACTTACCATCTTCCCGGTCACGCTGGAATAAGAAACAAAGTTGGAATCAGAATTTTCAGCTTTGACAAAAAGAAAACCAGTAATGCCTTCGTAATACATGTTGTCTAATGTCACTGCCACATTTTGGCAGCCTGTCCTGGAAGTAACTGACTCTGTACCAGACTCACATCCTGGGGAACAAGCCATGTTGTACAAATCAACCAACACCCTGAGTCTGACCATGTGATGTAAATCACCTCTTACAAGCATAGGTTACAAGGTACCTACTTTATAACAGAACAGTTGTCATAAAGAAAATTGTGCTTAATATTCCCAAGAATACTAAATCTAATTTTCAAGTCCACACCAGGAAAATGGTTGAAATAATCCACCCTAGAGTGTAAAACCAATTCTCCTCATGAAGAAAAGGATTGAGAAGATTTGCTGTCAATTATAGAGGGCTATTTCGACAACTGCATTCAGCACTGGGGCCCTATTCTACACAACCCACAGGAAGACAAGCATGGAGGACTGGGGACCTGCTGTGCACCACAACCTACAGGGAGACAAGCATGGAGGACTGGGGACCTGTTGTACACCAAAACCCACGGGGAGACAAGCATGGAGGACTGAGGACCTGTTGTACACCACAACCCACAGGGAAACAAGCAAGGAGGCCTGGGGACTGATGTACACCACAAGCTACAGGGAGACTAAGGATTGGGGACCTGTTGTACAGCACAACCCACAGGGAGACAAGCATGGAGGACTGGGGACCTGCTGTACACCACAACCCACAGGGAGACTAAGGACTGGGGACCTGTTGTACACCACAACCCACAGGGAGACAAGCATGGAGGACTGGGGACCTGTTGTACACCACAACCCACAGGGAGACAAGCATGGAGGACTGGGGACCTGTTGTACACCACAACCTACAGGGAGACAAGCATGGAGGACTGGGGACCTGTTATACACCACACCCTACAGGGACACAAGCATGGAGGACTGGGGACATGTTGTACACCACAACCACCAGGGAGACAAGCAAGGAGGACTGGGGACCTGTTATACACCACAACCCACAGGGAGATAAGCATGGAGGACTGGGGACCTGTTCTACACCACACCCCACAGGGAGATAAGCATGGAGGACTGGAGACCTGCTGTACACCACAACCCACAGGGAGACAAGCATGGAGGACCGGGGACCTGTTGTACACCACAACCCACAGGGAGACTGAGGACTGGGGACCTGTTGTACACCACAACCTACAGGGAGACAAGCATGGAGGACTGGGGACCTGTTATACACCACAACCCACAGGGAGATAAGCATGGAGGACTGGAGACCTGCTGTACACCACAACCCACAGGGAGACAAGCATGGAGGACTGGGGACCTGTTGTACACCACAACACACAGGGAGATAAGCAAGGAGGACTGGGGACCTGCTGTACACCACAACCCACAGGGAGACAAGCATGGAGGACTGGGGACCTGTTGTACACCACAACCCACAGGGAGACAAGCATGGAGGACGGGGACCTGTTGTACACCACAACCCACAGGGAGACTGAGGACTTGGGACCTGTTGTACACCACAACCTACAGGGAGACAAGCATGGAGGACTGGGGACCTGTTATACACCACAACCCACAGGGAGATAAGCATGGAGGACTGGGGACCTGTTATACACCACAACCCACAGGGAGATAAGCATGGAGGACTGGGGACCTGTTGTACACCACAACACACAGGGAGATAAGCATGGAGGACTGGAGACCTGTTGTACACCACAAGCTTCAGGGAGACAAGCATGGAGGACTGGGGACCTGGTGTACACAACAACCTACAGGGAGACAAGCATGGAGGACTGGGGACCTGTTGTACACCACAACACACAGGGAGATAAGCATGGAGGACTGGAGACCTGTTGTACACCACAAGCTTCAGGGAGACAAGCATGGAGGACTGGGGACCTGTTGTACACCACAACCCACAGGGAAACAAGCATGGAGGACAGGGGACCTGTTGTACACCACAACCTACTGGGACACAAGCATGGAGGACTGGGGATCTGTTGTACACCACAACCCACAGGGAGACAAGCATGGAGGACTGGGGACCTGTTGTACACCACAACCTACAGGGAGACAAGCATGGAGGACTGGGGACCTGTTGTACACCACAACCTACAGGGAGACAAGCATGGAGGACTGGGGACCTGTTCTACACCACACCCTACAGGGACACAAGCATGGAGGACTGGGGACATGTTGTACACCACAACCACCAGGGAGACAAGCAAGGAGGACTGGGGACCAATTATACACCACAACCCACAGGGAGATAAGCATGGAGGACTGGGGACCTGTTGTACACCACACCCCACAGGGAGATAAGCATGGAGGACTGGAGACCTGCTGTACACCACAACCCACAGGGAGACAAGCATGGAGGACGGGGACCTGTTGTACACCACAACCCACAGGGAGACTGAGGACTTGGGACCTGTTGTACACCACAACCTACAGGGAGACAAGCATGGAGGACTGGGGACCTGTTATACACCACAACCCACAGGGAGATAAGCATGGAGGACTGGGGACCTGTTATACACCACAACCCACAGGGAGATAAGCATGGAGGACTGGGGACCTGTTGTACACCACAACACACAGGGAGATAAGCATGGAGGACTGGAGACCTGTTGTACACCACAAGCTTCAGGGAGACAAGCATGGAGGACTGGGGACCTGGTGTACACAACAACCTACAGGGAGACAAGCATGGAGGACTGGGGACCTGTTGTACACCACAACACACAGGGAGATAAGCATGGAGGACTGGAGACCTGTTGTACACCACAAGCTTCAGGGAGACAAGCATGGAGGACTGGGGACCTGTTGTACACCACAACCCACAGGGAAACAAGCATGGAGGACAGGGGACCTGTTGTACACCACAACCTACTGGGACACAAGCATGGAGGACTGGGGACCTGTTGTACACCACAACCCACAGGGAGACTGAGGACTGGGGATCTGTTGTACACCACAACCCACAGGGAGACAAGCATGGAGGACTGGGGACCTGTTGTACACCTCAACCCACAGGGAGACTGAGGACTGGGGATCTGTTGTACACCACAACACACAGGGAGATAAGCATGGAGGACTGGAGACCTGTTGTACACCACAAGCTTCAGGGAGACAAGCATGGAGGACTGGGGACCTGTTGTACACCACAACCCACAGGGAAACAAGCATGGAGGACAGGGGACCTGTTGTACACCACAACCTACTGGGACACAAGCATGGAGGACTGGGGACCTGTTGTACACCACAACCTACAGGGAGACTGAGGACTGGGGACCTGTTGTACACCAAAACCCACAGGGAGACAAGCATGGAGGACTGAGGACCTGTTGTACACCACAACCCACAGGGAAACAAGCAAGGAGGACTGGGGACTGATGTACACCACAAGCTACAGGGAGACTAAGGATTGGGGACCTGTTGTACAGCACAACCCACAGGGAGACAAGCATGGAGGACTGGGGACCTGCTGTACACCACAACCCACAGGGAGACTAAGGACTGGGGACCTGTTGTACACCACAACCCACAGGGAGACAAGCATGGAGGACTGGGGACCTGTTGTACACCACAACCCACAGGGAGACAAGCATGGAGGACTGGGGACCTGTTGTACACAACAACCTACAGGGAGACAAGCATGGAGGACTGGGGACCTGTTATACACCACACCCTACAGGGACACAAGCACGGAGGACTGGGGACATGTTGTACACCACAACCCACAAGGGAGACAAGCAAGGAGGACTGGGGACCAATTATACACCACAACCCACAGGGACACAAGCATGGAGGACTGGGGACCTGTTGTACACAACAACCCACAGGGAGACAAGCATGGAGGACTGGGGACCTGTTGTACACCACAACCCACAGGGACACAAGCATGGAGGACTGGGGACCTGTTGTACACCTCAACCCACAGGGAGACTGAGGACTGGGGATCTGTTGTACACCACAACCCACAGGGAGACAAGCATGGAGGACTGGGGACCTGTTGTACACCTCAACCCACAGGGAGACTGAGGACTGGGGATCTGTTGTACACCACAACCCACAGGGAAACAAGCATGGAGGACAGGGGACCTGTTGTACACCACAACACACAGGGAGATAAGCATGGAGGACTGGGGACCTGTTGTACACCACAACCTACAGGGAGACTAAGGACTTGGGACCTGTTGTACACCACAACCCACAGGCAGACTGAGGACTGGGGACCTGTTGTACACCACAACCCACAGGAAGACATCGGAGGTGTACAGGGTACCTGAGCTGCATATCCCCCAGGTAAGCAAGCTAGAAGTACCTAATCTTGGACCTAATCTAAGGGAGACAAATCATGACATCTACTTGATAGCATATACACATAAACAAGTATGTTTGAACTCACCGAGATAATAATCTGCTTCTTATGGATGAAGTGTGGTTGAGCAGCGAGAGCAGCCACAGCATCCTCTTCGTTGACAAACTGCACAATGCCTGTTCCTGTACACCTGAATTACAATGGTAGGTGTAGGTTTATCACAACTTCTGTTAGCAGTCTGGAGGCCGCTAAAATCTCGAATCTGCACACACAGAGAAAACCCTGATGCTACAGACAGTGTTGACTTTGGTCCCATTTTAACTCAAAAGCAGATATGTTTTTCTGCCACATGCCATCAAATACGCCCAAATACAGAATTGGAAACTGTATCATTTTAATATCTTCCTAAATTCTAGAATTTTGTTATATCTGTATACTCATCCTGCATTACTCTTTAATGCATTTACTGCTTTCCTTTGACAAGATGAACCTATGAGAAACGCTGAAGAGATGTTGTTCCAGCTGCCATTGCCATTGCGCTGCGCCCATGTGACCCGGAAAGTGCTGACGTCATGTATCTTCACATTACTGCTTCATCGTAACATGTGAAGAAACATCGTGGGGAGGTGTTACTTCAATGGGCGGGTGATTTTAAGACTGGATAATGCAAGATAAGTACACAAATATAAAAAAAATCTAGATTTTACTAGATTTTTTTTACCTTATCCTGCATTACTATTAATGCATTTGTATCCGATGGTTTCTAGGAGTGCATACATTCAGATGTGATACTCTTGAAAAGAAACCTTGTTCACTGCCGTAGGCATTCTGTCAGCTGCCCTGGTCGATGATCGGAATTCCTTAGGCCATTCCTGACAGGATAAACAAGAGTTTGAGGGATGTAGGGCATCCAGGCAGTATGGCAGCAATAGAGAAAGCATATGCTAAAATCTTGAACTGTCCTACCGAGCGAATGCTAACAGCATGTAACCTGCTCGTCTGGGGTGACATACACCAAAAGAGTTGCAAGGCTCGCTCTGGACTAGTGGCGCTTAGGATTGGTGACCTGTTGTGCGACCACCAGAGGACCAAAACTTCGTGTGCCCTCGACATCTAGCATCATGTCTCTGAGGTAGTGACTGGCAAAGACTATATCTGACTTCCAAAAGCATCCTTCCGTGATCTGATGAAGCAACTACTGTTGAGGACCATCCTGGGGGCTACCGCTCTGATCTCATGAGGGTTGTTTGCCCTAGGAGGGTCCCAGCTGGAGGATTTTTATGCTTGTAATATGGTGGCTCATAACCATAACGCCAAGGTGTTGCAGCTAACTTCTGTCTGGGATATCATGGAGACTGGAGTGAAGAGCTGTTTCCTTGAACAACAATGAGCCCTTGACCGGCGGATGAAGCACCGAAGCGTGCAGACCGGGTGTAAATGGAGTTCTGCCTTGTCTTCAGATCCCATAATCAAACAGAGGGGTGGAACAGTGAAAGACCTGTCAGGCTGTCTTGAGAGTTGATTCTTTGCTATGAAGTCCCAGCACTTTCCCAGGTGGATGGCTCCATGTGGGGTATGTTAAGGATAAGACCCTCACCCTCGGGTGTTCTAGTAAAGAGAGGCCTTTGCCCGAGGGAAAACCTAACACACGAGGGTCTTCCTGTAGGCAAAGGCCTCTCTTTACTAGAACACCCGAGGGTGAGGGTCTTATCCATTTTATATACTGAAACCAATCACTGATGATGCCTTCGGTGAGGTTTTTGTTTCAAAATTGTCTGTCACCCGACCCTGTTCAAACCTGTCTGAAATCTATACCCCTCCTTTGAAATGAACATGACAGGATGCATGGGCATGTGTGGTCCGTGCATGAATGATGCATCCATGCATATTTAGGATAATAGGGTAAACGAGTTGTTCAAATTCTTCAGTCCCAGTAGCAAAGAGGTACAGTGTAGGATTTACGATTAGAATACAGGTATTTTGTGGTTCGATCCCAGCATTTGATACAAAAACTTTTCAGTTAAGAATTAAATTCTACAGACATTTTTCAGTGGGGCTTCTAAACTTACAACTGTAGAAAGTATCGAGTTAGTGGAAAAGTTAACTAAACAGCTGAAATGAGGCAGGGCCTTGCAACAACCAGATAACACCCCAGTAGGAGGGTATTAAAAAGTCTGTAAGCCCCTCCTGGGGGGGGTGTTATCTAGGCATATAAGGCCCTGCAATCTCTTGCCAGGATGTTCCTTCAGGAAATGCTGGACGATGAATTTGATCAACTAGATGAAAAAAACTGAATGTCTGTCACAGAAGGGAGTGAGTGTGAGTCGTTTCCTGGTTGCGCAGACACCAGACCACCATGGTGTTGTCTGTCAATACCATGAGTGCAGCATGCTGAAGGTGTGACCGCCAGTGAGATACGGCCAAAATAACTGAGTGAGTGAGTGAGTTTAGTTTTACGCCACACTCAGCAATATTCTAGCTATATGACGGTGGTCTGTAAATAATCAAGTCTGGACCAGACAATCCAGTGATCAACAGCATGAGCACTGTTCTACACAATTGGGATGCACTGACATGTCTACCATGTCATCAAGCCAGACCACGGGATCCTGTTAGTTGATAGCTCGATCAAGGAGACGCCTTCTAAAACATTCAACTCTATCGTCCACAATCGAAAGTACATCTTGAGGTGAGACGGTAGAGTGATGGATACCCACTGATCCTGCGGCTTGATGACTAGGGCTAGGAATAGTTGGATTGGGCGCAGTTGGAGATGACCTCTGGTTGTCAGATCCTGCGCTGATATGAGTAGGCCAAGAAGTAATTGCCACTGGGGAAAAGTACAGGGTTGGTGGAGCATGCTGCAGGATCTTGAGCCATCTGTCTCTCGGGACGGATAAGAGGTCGAGGTGTGTCTGAAATAATCCTCCTGGAGCATGCAGGAGGGAGTGAGCTCTGACTTCTGGTCGTTGACAATCCATCCCAGCTGATGTAGCGGGCATCTGACGAAATCCCTGTGTACGACAAGGGTTGATGGATCCTCTTTTTGCATTTTGTCTACTATTCTAGGCTGGGATGGCAGTGGGATGATGGATGGCAGATGGACTATCCTCTGTGGCTCCCTCCCCAGGTCCAGGGATCGACAAGAGGGGACACTGTTTGGTCAAACCCCCTGGATCCCATGATCAAGAACTTAATCATGGCGTTTGAGGAGGTTTTGCTAGGCTATCCCTAACTCCCGTCAATTAAGGTGCAACGTTTTAGGAAGATTTTCCTATCCCTGCTCTTGAGACATCACCAAACACACTTGATGAGGATTTACACCGTATGTCAGATAGGTGTCAACTACTCAACACATATTCTGTTTCTTTAAAGAACATTTGATAGGCCGACACCATCCAACAGGAGTGGATAGGTTTCATCACACTTATCCGAAGATCAACATTTTGGGTGATGTCAACAATTTGATAGGGGCATTCCAATTAATATAATCCCTTTCTGGCCTGTGCAGCGTGTGTTGATTTTAGGAAAACATCACTGACTGTATACACACGGAAGTACTCTACTGAGCTCTGCTCAAGATTTGCGGCAACCTTAAATATGTGATTGGATTTACATTAGTCAGAACTTTCAGTTGCAGTCTATATTTGAGATTTAGGCAAATTGCAAAACTATCATGACGCAAAAACGTCTGTTGGTTGGTACTCGCAAAAATACTGTGACACAAAAATTTCGTGATTTACAGTATTTCAGCTAGTGAAATTGGAAAATGGCCAGTAACTTTAAAGGCAAGGAAGTTATCTATTACTATTTCACTCATTTTAATGCAGATTTCAGAGTGATGTTTTATGCACGGTCTGTTCCTAAGTTGTACTCACTTTCCTTCATCGTTATTGAACACATCAAACTTCATCAAGTCCCCAAACTTGACGAAGTACTGGAACAGGTCAGATGCTGTCATATTCGGGCATCAGGTTGAAGACAAACAATGTCCTTGGCCTATCAGCAGCATCAATCTACAGCAAATATATGGATATAAGATGGATGAATAGATGAATGGGTGGAAGGATTGTAAGTTTGTTTGTTGTTTAACGCCACATTCAGCAATATTCCAGCAGTCTAAAAATACGGAAGTCTGAACCAGACAATCCAGTGATTAACACAATGAGCATCGGCGCAATTGGGATACAATGACACCTTACTACCCAATCCTGTTAGTTGCCTCTTTAGCATGGGTTGCTAAAGTCCAATTCTAACTTGGATCTTCATGGGTTTATACTGGTATGTGGGCAAATGAGGTATGTAACACATATGAAACAATTGTTGAGGAAATAGTTGGAATCCAAATAGTATGAAAATGCTTATTCACAGCGTGCTTCCTTTCTGGTCACTTTTAGCAATAATCATTTAATACATCGGCAGGTTCAACCACTCAGAAACAACCCCATCCCAATAAACATGAGAACTCACCATGCCATACCTCCAGTCTGCAGCCTGACCTTGACCCCTGACAGGTGCACCTCTGCAACACACATCAAGATTGAAGACGACATTGCGCGTTAAAATAGGGGTGACTATTGAGGGGGAAACAACGATTAAAAATAGTATTGAGATCAACTATTGCAATATTTTTTTCCCCCTTGAATCGTCTCATATGTAGCATGAATGTACAGTTTATATGAAATAAAAACAAGTTGAAGTTGTTTCAGTCTCTTAATAACTGACAAGAAACTTGAAACCCAGATCAAGTAAACAGTTATAACATAATGATATTCACAAAATTAAACACTGAGTTGCATGCCGTGTTTGCCGCTATGTTTGTTTAACTCTAAATCAAAGTGAACGAATTGGTACTTTCTGTATTTTGCGCTGCACATTTATCAATGGAAGTAAACTATTAAACTATCGATAGTTACACATACTATAGATGCATCGATAGTTTTTCGTTTCGACCATCGATTAATTGCTATCGGGGACTCAACAATTGCAATCCGTCGATAGTTCAATGCATCGTTACAGCACTACGTAACAACAATGTTACATGTTATAGTGGCTTGACATAACAGTAATATCTATCACATATATCCATATTACAGTGTAAATACAACAATAACTCCCACAAGAAACAAGTGTTTGCCACTAACATGGCAATGCCCCCCCATCGCTAAATAAGGATGAAACATAACACATTTACTAGGTTTTATCTTTTGGTCACATAGAAGTGTAGTGATATAGTTTTTAGTCATGGTCACTTCCCAGAATCTTCTATTTAACAGATTCTAGTACTTTATTTGTGTAATCAAAACTTCCGGCCTGATTTCAAACCAGCAACCGTTCACTTACAAACTAGGTGGTTTTATCCACAAGGCAGCAAAGGATCTCCATGAAGTATGTGATTGCTCCTCACAAGACGGGTTGTGTCTGCAGTGCACATGCAGGACCAGAATTATGTGTGCAAGGCAAGACATCGGCAGCCTGTAGCATCCCAGTTAATTTCAACAGTAAACACCAAATATGGTAAATTTACTAAATATTAGAATTATATCTAAAGTATATCTTCGGTCAGTTCATAAGTAGGATCACGTTCAACTCATTACCTTCCTGTCCCGGGTATCCAGGTTAGTCGTCCCAGCCCTAGTGTGTATGATGAACAAGATATGCTATGAACAAGATGAATATATACAGTCAGCACCTGTCCTCCATTGTCACACAAGTAAGAGATTATGATTACTGATGGTATTTTAATCACTGCTTGTGTCACTATTCTCATGCACAATCGTTCCGCTATGACTATCAGTGTGCAAAAGTTTGAAAAGTGGTCAAAGTGTCATGGTGACCCTGCAGATCAAGGTCAAGGTTGAAGACTTTGGGTACAACAAATCGTTAACTGGAGACCTGGAAGATAAACCGATGTCACCAAAATCAACTGGTGTCTGTGCAACCCACCAATGTAGGCTGTCACCAAATTTGAAGACTTTGGGTACAACAGTGCATAAGATATCACGTTAGGCCAGACCAATTTTATTTCTTGTTTTACGGATTTTGGTCTTTAGAAAACCTAAAGGCAGGAGGAAAAAAAAAAAAAATACAATCACCAGTCAAAGTTATATTCCTTTTAAATACTCAAAGTATTTTACTTTTGGCAATTTATGAAGTGTATATGGGGCAAAAACAATCTAAAATATATTTTCTTGTAAGTTTACATTCACTCACCCTCAATTACCTCCCTTGGTTTCCCTTAAAACCGCCGCATTGACCTCGCCATGTTTTGGTCCTCACTCTCTCCGATATATGCCCCACACAGGTCTACAGGGAAACCCGTGTGGTGAGAAAGGACGGTTGGGAGGGCTTCATCTCATGAGTCAGGATAAGTATAAAATATTAATTTTATCATAAAAATTACATATTTTTCCTTATCCTGACTCATGATATTTACTTACTGAATCCGACGGAAGGTGGTGGGTCAGCCACCCACGGGATTCCCTGCATGATTGTATTCACGTCAGCGTTAAGCTTGATTTACCCCTGGGAATTTTCTTCTTCTGCGGTTAACTTCAATATCTTCTTGATGCTAATTGGGGACCACCTTGTTATACATACATTATTAGAAGTAAACCTAGGTTTTGTGGATTTTCAGGTTGTTGTCTGCTACCTGGGCAATGGGCTTCATCGGTTGGGATAGTAATCGATTTGTAGTCATCATCATCTGCCAGGCCGTGATGTGAGATGTCTACATTGACTGCTGACGATGTAGTAAAAGACCGGGTCTGCACTGTTTGCCGTCATCTTGCCTACTGCAATGCTGCTCTCAATAGCTGTCTGCTTCTTCTCCCGGTCTAATCTCATCTCCATCGCCTGGATCACCCTATGGGTGATGGTATCAACAAAGTCTTCAGCATTGAGGACTTCTGCGTTGGTAATCAGATGCTGCTCTGGGACTACTGCAACTGGCTTCGTCTGTCCCGCCGTTAAGCGGGTGGTAAGCGTTTGCAAGCGCTAGCGGGTTCCCGCCTGACTTCTGCTGTTTCTGGCTCTGCAACGCCTCTTCGGTAGACTGCTTACTGGAAGGTGTACCACCTTTGATGATCTCACAGCATCACTGCCACGGGTAGACTGTGGCGATGACATCGGCGATGTCATACTTCTGATCTCGCGCTGACAGTATCTCAGTACTGGAAGCTCTCTGCGACGCTGCAAGGAAGACCTCAGGCTGCAACACTGGAGGACCTAAAGGGCTGGAACCATCTGCTTCAGCACCAGGCACACCAACATCTGTTGACTTAACGCTGCATGGGAGTATGTAGCGACGACCTCGAAGATCTACCAGAATGGGGACGATCTAGATGAATGCCTGGATGATGAGGTCTGCTTCCTGAAGAGGCGCCCTGTGTTTCTTATGTTGTGATGCCGTCTCTGCTGGAGGGGACTTCCTTTACTTACAGTGTGTGGAGATACCTTCTCCCGTACAGGTAACGTCGCAGACTTCGACTGGGATGACATCATATATCAGCACAGCTCAAACGTAGTCACAGCAACTCACAACCCTCACGACTGCATCACCTTCACGCAGGCTGGTTGACTCTGCCAACAGGTTGTGCAATTATAGATTCAAATTTCCCAATCACATGTGAAAAATTTTACAAGTCAAAATTTCACAATTCAAATAATATCTGAAGTCATAAATTCAATATATATACATATAATTATACACAATAATCAACATCAAGACATATTCAAACCATAAACCAGCCAAGAAGAACACCCAGGGTGTAATTCAAGCGTTGAGACGTGATGGATCACTTTTTAAACATACATTTGTAAACAGACAGTCATCTGAAAACAGAGTAAAATGTGAATTAATTTGACATGAATTGTACAAATTTTGTTAATAATATGATAAATAACATATTAATAACCACATTCAAGTCAGAATTTGTGCTATATATACAAAATATTTGAAATTAAAAGCCGCCGAAAAGGACCCTGAAGTGACTGCCCAACCGTCCCCACGGTGATAGAGGAGAGAGTGAGGACCAAAGCATAGCTAGGTCACATGCCGGTTTTGGCGGGAAACCAAGGGAGGTAATTGAGGGTGAGTGATTGTAACGTTCGCTTCAAGGGAATTGAAAGGATTCAAGTTTCCACTTGACCGTTCGGAAGAGAGGATGAGAAAGCAAATAATGATGAGTCAGGATAAGGAAAAATAATAACAATAATAATAATAGTCCATTTGTAAAGCGCATTTCTCCACACATAATGCATGCTCGAAGCGCCCAATGTTCAAAGTACACAGCACAGAATTGAAATAAGTTCATTTCATACACTTCACCATGTAAGGTAGGCTTTTTGAAACAGATTTGATCTGAATGCTGAGTATGATGGTGCAGTTCTAAGAGTGTGGGGAAGGCTATTCCATTCCGTGGCTGCATAGAACACAAAGGATCTTTGGCCAAACCTGATGGTTCTGACTCTAGGTACACACAAGACGTTCTGTGAAGCAGATCTGAGAGATCTCGCTGGTGTGTACAGCTGGAGTAGTTCTGTGAAGCAGATCTGAGAGATCTTGCTGGTGTGTACAGCTGGAGTAGTTCTGTGAAGCAGATCTGAGAGGTCTTGCTGGTGTGTACAGCTGGTGTAGTTCTGTGAAGCAGATCTGAGAGATCTTGCTGGTGTGTACAGCTGGAGTAGTTCTGTGAAGCAGATCTGAGAGATCTTGCTGGTGTGTACAGCTGGAGTAGTTCTGTGAAGCTGACTGAGAGGTCTTGCTGGTGTGTACAGCTGGTGTAGTTCACAGATAATCAGGAGCAGCACCAGTTACACACTTATAGGTGATGCATAGAACTTTAAAAGCAATTCTCTGGCCGGACAGGTAGCCAGTGCAAGTTCTGAAGCACAGGTGTGATATGGCTGGACTTTGGACATAGAGTAACTACTCTTGCACAATTATTCTGGATCCATTGAAGTTTTTGAAACTAGCACTTGCGGAGCCCGGCAAGTAAACTGTTACAATAGTCTAATCTAGACATTACAAGAGACAAAAACAAGGATAAAGCGTTGATTCAATGGTCAGATAATTTCTTATTGCTCCTATATTTCTCAGTTGAAGGGAACAGACTCACCACGAGATGATTGACTTGTTCCTCAAGATCCAGCTCGGGGAAGCGACAGCGGATCAAGTAAAACAAGAAATAAAATTGGTCTGGCCTTAACTAGAGTTTGAAAAGTGGTCAGTGTCATGGTGACTTTGAAAATAAAATCAAAGTCACCTAAATCGACAGGTATCTGCATAACCCCAAATTTAAGACATTGGGTACAAGACTACAACATTTCATGAGATATCATGCACCTATGAATCGGCACCTATGTATGGACGCACGCTGCTGAATACATAGTCCCCCATTCTGTGTTGTCACAGGGACAAAAGCACTGACAGACAACACCTACCTTGTTTCAAAACGTGACCTCTTGGCATTGGGATCTCCAGTTATATCTTCCCATGAATATGGTGCTGGTCGTTTATAAGTCTCACGACCACCTGGCATAACTCGGGACATTGGCGCTGAGTCTGCCATGCTCATCTCGTTGTACCATCCATCAGGTGGGTTTTCAGGCGCCCGTGCCCTTCTTTCATCATAACCACCTGGCATGACTTGGGACATTGGCATAATGCATTGAAGAGGGACCGGTCTCACTCTGGCCATACTGTTCATCAGTGTTTCCAGGTGCCCATGCCCGTGCCCTTCCTTCATCATAACCTCCTGGCCACTGACCTTGGGGATAGCCTTGATAGCCTGACATGACAGTGCACTGTCATATATCCTTGGGTGTCTGAAAAGGTCAGATGATTCAACATTTACATTAGATTGTTGTGAGAGTATCAGTATACCTAGTTGTAGGAAACGTTGCTTTACATAAAGTTATTAACACAATTGATAACAAAACAGCTGACACATAAACTTAAAAAATATACGTCTCCATGTAAAATGGGCAATCAAAGGCTTGACATTACGTTGGCAATGGTGATCTTATCAATGATGCTCCCATTAAAAACAAATTTTAGATGTTTTGGTATAATATTCATTCATTCATTCATTCTGAAATCCAATAATACCAGGATACAGTAAAGGCCATCTCAGTGCTAACAATGTTAAAAGGCTATTTATCAGCCTCAAAGAACTGTTTCGAGTTTGATCTTGCATGCAATCAATTCAGTCTTCAATGACAACAAACAAGACCATATAGGAAGGCGTTTCCTATTCTCGCGGTACTTACGGATGCTCGGCTGAAATAATAACATAAACAATTTTATCATACGAATGCTTGTTGTTATTAAATGAAGGGCCTTCTCCTCTAACATCTACATCTATCAGCTGCTAGATCTATCAGGTGAATTACCACTCGTGGAGCCGGTGATAAAACAATGCCATCCGCCACTGACGAAAAATGGGAGGCTTCTCCTATTCTCGCGGTATTACCAGGAATTAACGTTTTTGAGTGTATGTAAAGTCATCCTGCCCGAAAGGGCGGAAAAAAGTAATGATATGTCCAAGTTGGTATAAACTCCCCAATTTTCGTGACACTGCAAGAATTTGATCACTCACAGACTTGGTCCACTTCCTAGTTACCAGTCGGTGATGTCAACAACAGGTAAAGTGTCACGCATCGGCTGATTTCGGCAGAAAACGTATTTACCGCGAGAATAGGAAACCCGCGAGAATAGAGAGACGGACCTATACTGGTATCAATATATGGTCTCTGATCAGAATAATGATCAAGATTGGTTCCATCTTGGCTAGTGACAATCTACTGTGGACGTGTAACGTCAAGAAACCAGCATCCAGGACTATATTTTTCATAGGATCCCTGCGGTCACATTAATTCGTTGACGCTAGTTCGTTCTTTATTACGTTAAACTAAGCCCCTGTGCTGTGGTCAGTGTGGATAAACAAGCAGTGAAGCACGCATTCAATATTCATGATTCTGGCCCTCTTTCAAAATAAGGTGATTTTCGAAACATGAAGCTGCTTGTGTTGCAAAAACAAAACATGAACAGTACGTCACATAACTGTCAACATCAATTTGGCTTACCAAACCATAAACAAATCTCTGTGGCTAGGTTTCGGTTTAGCGTTCCACTTAGGGGATGCAGACCGGAAGTACTATGAACACACAAGCTCCTAACACTGAAATCGTTCGTAACTACTCGCCTCTTTCCGTGAAAATGGCGGCACCGACGAACTTTGAAACATCGCTAAGCTAAGCAAAACACAATTTAAACATAAACGTTGAGCTAAAGGGTCAGCAGCTTTCGATAATGAAACATCTTTATGAAGGGAATGACTGTATAACTGTTTTGCGCACGGGATATGTGATATTCTAAGCTGGGGCCCGTCTCCCATATCGACATATTGACAGAACATTTCTGATTGCACACATAACAGATTTAACCATGTTGTCATTGAACACGCCAGTTTGTAAAAGTGTGTCACCAGTAGTGATGTCATACGTCAACATTGTTGGGCATACTTAATAATTTCTTTTAGGGACCGTTCATAATTTATGGCAAGGGGTGGGGTGGGGTGAAATGATTATTTTAAGGGGTCACTCATTTTGTTAAAGGGAGGTGTATGGGGGCAGCAATTTTGTACACATGTGCTGGGGCGGTAAGCAATTTTGTACATATAAATATTTAAAATTATGCTCACAAATATATGAAGGGAGGGTCATTGATTTTGTACATGACATGCAGGGGTCACTTTGTACATAATTTTTTTATTTTATTTTTTTTGGGGGCATTCACATTGTACATGCTTCTTCATACAAATCATCATCCCCAGCCATAAATTATGAACGGTCCCTTAGGTTCAAGGTCAGTGAATAAAACTACATATGGTAATTATATATATGCTGCTGTTTACAGTCTGATGTAGATTTTTCGTATCTATTGCATATTTAATTTCTGTATGGGCAATTAACAATGTTCAATGTCCAATTATTCTTAGATATATATCACACGATTTATGAACGTTTCATAATTTGTTGGTTTGGACATAGTTTTTTATCAGAAATTGACTATGTGTCAGTGTTGTATACAATACCTCGTACCTTTAGACAAGTGTCAGAAGATCTAAATGTATTCTACATTGAGCGTAATGTTATAGTCGGAGGACCGTACGTAAATCCAATGTAACGTTCACGTTTCAGATCCTATGAAAATGTGCATCACAAAATAATTCCGCATCCAGTGGCCCCAAGTGTAACTTTGAAGTCATCATTTTGCGACTGATGCTGTACATTTGAATAATTATTTCCGAGCCAGATACATTAGTTTCCTTTACACTATTTTGAAGATTTGTTTACAATGACCTTACGTGTCCATATAGGCATATCTAAGTAACAAAGGTACATTTCCATTGTTCAGCGTGAACATCTCGACGACGGCATAACATTTGAGGTAAATTGAAGAGCGCATCATGGATATTAACTAGTCTATATAGAAAAATGAAAAACAAAATAAATGATCTTTCTGCACCCGCTATTGTCAAGCCCATTTATCAGAATGGAGCAACCAACATTGGAGATGCAATCATGGCTGCTGTCAGAAGAGAATTGACCCCTAGGTTGAAAGAACGGTTAATATTTTTGAAACAGTTAAAATAACCTATGCTACTGATATCACCATTCTTATCTGTTTATGTAATATATGTATTTGTTTATTCTCTTGTACCACCGTGGGTGGTTTTCGCGAAAATAAACTTTTCTTGTCTTGACAGAATCTTGCTAAGTGAGAGGCCACCTGTAAAAGTTACCTACAGTTAATAGAGTATTGTGTACATTGAACGCTGGAATGATGGTGTAGATGAGTCACGTCTATGTTGGTTAGTATTGTCAAAATGTGAAAGGAAAAGGAACAATTAAATAAAAACGTCAACAAACAACGCAAATACAGGGACAATACCACTTCATGACTATCGGCAGAATTCAGTTTCAGGAATAATGGGGCCGATCCACAAAGCGCTCGTAGCGCCAAGAACATTGTAATAACAATAATAATAATAAATAATAATAATGTCCATTTATATGGCGCCAAACTCCACTGGGGCGTGCTCATAGCGCATACAAGAGTCAAGGAAAAGAAGTAAAAACTAGTAGCAGTACAAGGTCACTTTAAAAGTACAAATGGAACAGATGAGTCTTTAGGAGACACTTAAATTGTTCCAACGACTGGGCGTCTTTGAGAAAATCTGGCAGTGAGTTCCATTTTAGTGGCAGCTGCAACACTAAAGGACTTGTAACCAAAGGACATTTTCTTCCATGATGGCACTATGAGTCTCTGTTGATTCTCAGACCTGAGAGAACGTGGTGGAATGTACATACATACAATGTCACACAGGTATGATGGGGCTAGATTTGAACACACTGATATGCCAGGATGATGATTTTAAAGTCCACTCTCGCCGCTACTGGGAGCCAATGTAACGCCTTAAGCACTGGTGTTATGTGCATTCTTGAGGGATATCTGGTGACTATCCTCGCCGCTTGATTTTGCACTTTTGAAGCTTACTTGGGGTGTTGCCGGTATGTTTGCAAGCAGATTGTTGCAGTAGTCTATGCGTGTCAGAATCAGGCAACGAGCGAGCTTTGCAGCTGAATCCTCAGTTATGAGATGACGGATTTTCCCCAAGTTTCTCAGTTGAAAGTAACAACTTTTACATATGTTGTTCACTTGCTGTTCCATCGATAATCCAGCATCAATTAGGACGCCTAGATTCTTCACAACAGGAGACATATCGATGCTTGTCTGGTTAATGTGTAGTTTGTCCTGACACAACTTGGAAAGCTTGGTCTTAGGCCCCATAACAGCAGCTTCCGTCTTCTCCTCATTTAGCTGAAGCATGTTCAGAGTCATCCATTCTTTGACATCAGAGATGGAATGTTCCATCTTTGCCCATGTCTTGTGCTGTTCCTCCTGCTCTATTTCAAAACGAGTCATACATCTGGGTGTCGTCAGCATACAAGTGATTGTTCATTATAAAACCTATCGTAACTTTAAGACAGAAATCTTAAAAGCGATCCACAAAGATATCTTAGTGAAAAGAACTCGTAAAGTTAAGAGAAAATTTAAGAACGGCCAGCGCCTATCGTAAATCAAATATTTCTGTCGTAAACTTGAGAATCAAGATGGCGGCATATTTTTTAGCTCTGGCTTATTTGAAGAGTCAACACGATCACGACCAAAGGGCGTTTCGGGACCGAACTTGGGTTCTTGATACGCTGGATGATGAGCATCGTATGATGAGCATGTTACTATAGTAAGGGGTCGTTTTCTCTGAACTAGCTTTGGACTTGCATGGGATATCACAGTCCAGTGTGAGTCCACTGTCTCACGGGTATGTAGGAAACACTTGATGTAAAACACTTTGAAACTAATATCATTCCCAAGGTGCTTATTTGTATTGATGTAACTCTATATGTGACCCAGCGAAGACCAAGTTTTTTACGCGGTAAACGTTCTGAAGCGGTCTGTGACGCAGAGCTAAGGTACGTAACACTAGGCCTACTTG